ATCCCTATACCAACAGTGGTAGAAAACAGCATTTTGATAAAGAAACCAGTAAAGCTCCCCATATGCATTTGCAAATCACCTTCTGGGAAAGTATGTCAGAAGTAAAGATCTTTGTTAGTGGAAAGTTGAAGAAAAGAAGAAAAAAATACAGGAGGATGTTCAGCATCAAAAAAATCTTTCTAAATGTGATTGTGGCTATTAGGTCTGTCTTTGTACAAAATAAATTCCCAAAAAACAAAAGGAAAACAACAAAAACAAACAAAAAAATTGAACACAAAACATTTAGAAGACATTGTGGCTATAAATCATAAATAGAGACAGCTGACTTATAAGCATTTAATCATCATAATAATCAATGTAAGCAATATGATGCATTGTAATTCTAGACTGGAAATTAATATTGTCAGACTTAAGCAGCACAAGCAGGTATCTGCCTCGTGTTCTAGGCTTTTTCTGTACTGTATAGAGGCAAGTGACTCCAAAGGGCTATTCACCCAGTCTTAAAATAAGGAGGAACAGCTGCAGTTTGACAGTAAATCCAAGCATTTTAAGGCAGATCCTGTTATATAAGAAATTGCTGTCACATGATATAAAATACTGCTAGAGCATCTATTTACAAACCCTTCCCAATACTCAGAAAATATCTACACTGCACTGGCTGCCTTATAATGCTCAAAAAATGCTCTATCCTGTGTGATGTTTAATTAGTCAGAAATGTGACTGCACTCTGAGATCTGAGCAGAATGTATTCTGTAATGCTGAGTGATTCAGTAGTGCAGATATTAGTGGTGAAATAATGGTCTGTGAAAGATGAATACTTCATAGTATCATCTTCATTCAAAGATGATCCTTCCTTCCTGCATAAAAGATACATGGCACCTGAAATGTTAAAGTTATCAGAGAGGAAACTTTCCTGTAATACCAGATTCCAAGGCCATTGGAATCTGTGGAAAGTATCTGATTAACTTCAGTGGGATCTGACCTAATATTACACATTTAAGATATATTCAAATGATTAAAAATCATACATTTAAAAGTACAGTTTTTATCAGCAAATGTTTTACATTTTAGTATTCTTACTCAACTACTTTCAGTTCTCAGTCTTTTTTTCACAGCTACTACTTTTAACTTGGTGACATGAAGCGATGTCAACTGATGAAAATGTTTCACTGTGCCTAATATTTTGGTCTGAGCCTGAGAAATACAGCTTGTGTCTCTGGCGAATACATGATTGTTCCCTTCTCCTTCGCTTTTCTTGAAGGTTTAGTTTTCTATTTTGTTCAGAATTCACTGTTAAAAAAAAAAAAAATAAAAAAATTCTGATTTATTTGGTGTTTTTCCAGTGTGTACTGAGCTCTTCATGCTCTGCCTCTGACATTTGAGAGGAAATATGCTGTAACAGGTATTTCCTGTTTGCATATTGCTTCTGGCCTCTTGTCAACTTTTCACATTTCTTTAAGGATAGACCTCTGGCATCTGTTCTATAGCTACGTTATTCACATGCCATTTAGACAGATTCCAAAATCTTCATATTTTTATCTTACTGTTGAATCACAAGAGGTTCTTATTTTCCTTTTACACATATATATAAAGTTTTTGAAATACTCTGTTTTATTATACATCTATAGCTACTTTGATTTCAGGATTTGTGGTCCTTGTTTTCTATCATGTTACTCCATTGTAGTCTCAAAGAAGACTGCAGAAACTGAAAAGTTGTAATGTTTAAATTAAAAGATACTGTCATGGTCATTTGCAGAGGTCTAACACAGAAATGAAAGACATAAAGACACATAAAATAGAAATGACATATTAGAACAAAATTCTGCTCTGCCCAGTGATGACATGTGAAGTCATTTATTTCTTTGTTTACATTAGAAGTATGAAAGAAGTTGTATTTTCACTAGTCCTGGATAGTTGGTGGAAAGTAGTGAAGAACAATTAGGCTGAGTTCCCTTATTTCATCTGAAATTCATCACTTTTACTTCTTCCTCTCAAAGTAATGTACAATTGTGTTAAATTAAAAAAATTATCTTTGTCAACCATAAAAAAGTCTCCAGTATTCAGCATAAAAATAATTTTTTGCCCCTCTACTCTGGTCTTGTGAGACTCCAGCTGGAGTTCTGCATTAAACTCTGTGGTCCCTGGCACAGAAAGGACATCAGCCTTTTGGAGTGAGTCCAGAGGAGGCCACCAAGATGACTGGAGGGATAAGACACCTCCCCTGAGGAAAGGCTGAGAGAATTGGGATTGTTCTGTCTGGAAAACAGAAGGCTACTGGGACTCCTAGTTGTGGACTTCCAGTATGTGAAGGAAGCCCACATGAAACACAAGGAGACACTTTTGACAAGGGCATGGAGTGGCAGGACAAGGGTCAAACTGAAACAGAGTAGGTTTACATTACATACTAGGAAAAAAGTTCTTTATTTTGGGTGTGGTGAGGCCCTGGAACAGGCTGCCCTGTTCCAGAGAAGTTGTGGGTGACCCATAAGCAGCAGTGTTCAAGGCCAGGCTGGATGAAGGTCTGAGAGAGCTGTTCTAGGGAATGATGTCCCTGCCCATGGCAAGAGGGTTGGAGGGTTGGAATTAGATTGTCTTTAAGGTAGGTCCCTTCCAACCCAGACCATTTCTTACAGAAAGAGCTAATGAGTGTTTAAACCACCAAAATAGTTCTACTATTTAAGATACAAATAACCTTTTGTTTTTATTTTTTTTTTTTTGATTTTTTTTCTCCACAAAAAAGACAGGCTAACAAAAAGAAACAAAGTAGACTAATGGACACAATGGGCAAGGAAAATCTCATTGTGAAACCCTTTCCCTTCAGATCCTCTAAATTTTACAAAATTAGTAACAACTTCCAGTACTTTTAAATGATTGTTTTGGGAAGCCCTAGATAAAAACAATTCTAATATTACATGTGGTAATGCATAATACTAATTAGATAATAATTTTCTTTATACTTTTTATATAACATTTTACTTTCTTTAGGTTTTCCCATCCACCCTTCCTCATTTAAATTGCTGAAGGATGCTATCTCGCCTGCCTTCTGTATCTCCAGATAAAAACTGGTTTTCTGATTATATTGGATGGCTTATAGAGGAGTCAAATATAAATTATACTATGTTATCAGTGGTGAAAATTTTCACTCATTAAATGACAGATGCAAAATTGTGTTGGAGTAATTGATAAAATGAAATAAAAATCTGTAAGGAACTAATTGGAAGGTTAACCCATTTTTGGAAACCTATTTTTTGTTTAAAGGATAAGAATATAATAGAGAAGAAAATCAAGCATTCAAAGTCTTAAAAAGGTTTGAACATAAAGTATCTGTTGTTATTGAATAACATTCCTCTTGAGGTAAAAGGGCCGATAATCCAGTTAAATACTCTTACCCAATTTCACAAAACGGCAAGGGGAAAGTAAAAGCAGATACCTCCCTTGTGGGAGCTTTCTGTTTGTTAATTACAGTGTAGCCAGAGTATGAAGACACCATCTGTTTCACTCAGACAACATTATGTACTCAAAGAAAGTATATGAGTACTTGAAATAAAGTTGCAAAAATTGTCCTTCTCTTTCCTCCATCTCCTCAAATATTCTTCTATATTGCTTAGTGAAATAATATGTCCATTTAGCAATATGTTATTCAGGTTATGTAACTATTTGCACATTACTTTTAAAATCTTAATTTAGGGGAGAAAAAATAAAAATCTCTGTTATTCTACTGAGCATATACACCCAAATTGTGCCACGTGAACTATTTGAGAAGGATCACTGATTATTGAGAATCTGGACTAAAGAAAGAGAAATGCTGAGGCACAAAAATCACTGCAAGTTCATCAGTAGATGTTTTATAACTTTACTCCCTTGTACTATCCGTTTTTCCTTGTAACTTCATTCTTATTCTGCATCAATCTGCTTTTCCACTCAGCTTAAATGACTGCCTAAATAAGTTCGGTGCATAATGGTCTCCCTCTCTGGCTTCAACATGAAATGTAAGAGCATTTCTGAGAAAGGAAACACATACGTGAGAATCTCTCAAACAGGCTCTGGAAGGGGCTATGGTTGTGAAATGGCAATTCACAAAAATACCTGGGAGCCAAGGGAATAAAACCTCTATAAATAAGCTGATGGACTAGAAGCACTCTTTCACTACAAATCAAGTATCTCTTACTTTGTACTCCCATTTACATAATTAATTCTTCCTTCAAATCACTGTATGCACATACATGTATTTCTCATACCAATAGAAAGAATGAGAATAGGGGAAAACAAGGGCTGATACAACTACCAAGCACAGGAAGCACAATGAGGCAAACAGTGTTAACATTAAGAGTCTCTGTGTCAACCCATGTTAGAAATGTTGCTGCTGCTACACAAAATGATACTAGACTAGATCTTGCTAATCTTGAAAAAATATATATAAATTTCACTGACCAGAGGAAAAAGAAGGTCAAAATGGAACTGGTTCAATGATTTCTTCTGTTTCAGCAATAAAATGTCTAAAGGGATTTAGTAACAGTTAGCCAACTGTTAAGATTTGTCATCCTGCTGCCTGTAATATGATGATATAGCACTAGTAGGCAAAAGGGAGAAGGACATTGCTGTTCCTGTGGAGCTCTTTTCTCTTTCATCCCATTCAATCACAACAGGAGTGAAAACTCCTCTCAAATGTCTCTGAATGCAGAAACTCTTACTGATTAGAAAAAAATGGATAATTTAACATGCCTCCTTCATGAAAAACAGTAATCATAATTATAAGCATTCTGGCACTACCCCAGCTGACCTTGAAAACCAAAACTAGCAAAGAACGTGATATTTTATTGGTTTTGTTTATTTGTTTCTTTAAGGTAAAAATAAAGCTTTACAAAAAAATCTTTAATTCTGTACCAATTCTTTCCCTTAAAACATCAGAAATGTTGTCACTGATTTCAAGTGTTTCCACCACGACAATTATCTCTGAGTGAACTTGTACAATAAATTATAAATTAAATTCATTAACTTACTTGAAAACTGTATGGCGAATCCAGATTTACTGATATAAAAATCTGTGTCAAACTGGATAGTGACTATGTTGAGTGTACTGTGAATGCCTTCAGGAATAAGAGAGCCACTAATTTCTTTGAGCAACATCTCATTCTCAGGTGGACCATCCCAAACTCGAAGAATATCATGGGATGCCTCAGTATCAAAAGCAAGAAACTGGAGGCTGAAAAAACACCATGATTTTATTGTCAGCTTTAATATTACTCAACAACATAACTTTAATGACAAAACTAAACAAACAACAGGAAAAAAACAAATAAAATTTGATTTCAAAAAGAAAATTTTCATGATGTTTCACACTTTTAAATCTGAATGCATGAAAGCCCAATACTAAAACTAATTTGAAAGATAAAAACCTTAAACTATTTGAATTTGTCCACCATAAAGTAGTGTATTACTTTAGCCATTCAAATAAACTATAAGTATCTACGTAATCTTTTCAGGAAAGAGTTTCAGTTTTTCTAAAACAATATTATATACCATATTCCCATTGAAACAAATTAACTAAAAAGCAATGAAAAAATACAGATTGTGTTGTTTTGTTATTTTGTAGGTTTTTTTTTAATGCAGTCTTTCACTTAAGAGTTCTGCTGCATTCAGCATTTCACAAAATTATCACCAATTTTAAAGCTCAGTCTTCTTTGGATAATCCTTATTGAAAAATCAAAACTTTCAACCAAAATCTAAAATGGCAAAAACAGAGATCTGCATCTTAAGTTTTAAGCCCCAAATCCCTTTTTTTTTTACTCCACTCTAGAGGTAAGATTTGGTTATTATACTCAAAAAACATGTTAAAATTTTAAGATTAATTTTCAGTACCTGACAATATTTCCTGGGTCCACTTCAATCACCCACATGCAACGCAGATTGTTGTCATAGGGAAAAGGATAGCCAGGAGACAAGATTCTTCCTGATGACTCTCCTTTAAACCGTCCTCCACATTCAGCTAATAAAAAACAACATTACGGAATGATCGTACAGCTAATCACCTGAGCAATCAATTTATACATCTACTCTCTTGTTGAACGGGTTACATGATTAAACTGACCATATGCCACAATATTGTAAAACAGCATATAAAGTCTGCATTTCACCCCTTGCTTCACCTACTTACTCAATCCCCAATTTCCTCTAAATGAAGATGAAAAAGAAAGCTACTTTAATATTTAAGCCTTGTCTTCTTTTCACTCTCCTATGGGAATAATGGAGCCTGTAAGTAGCTGCAAAACTTATGGAGTCATAGTAATAATGTAAAGAAACAGGAGTAACAAAAATACAAAATAACTTTTTATCTCTCCATATCTTAATTATTTTATTTTATTTGATCTATTTAATATAAATACATGAGATTTTTCTAGCTTATTGATATTTATATATAAATAAAAAAACCTCTAGTTTTACAATGCCATTCTGATTAAGCTTTTTATGTTGATTATTTGCTGACATTAACTACTGTATGTATTAGTACTTTCAGTGTGCACAAACATTTAAGAATTAGTATCTTTTTTAACATAAAAAGGCAATACTGCTTAGATGAATTTAGATGAGATATATCAGAGAGAACTCTAAATGCCTGTGTAAATATATCTGTACACATATCAGATCGTATCAGATCATACACATTAGATTTTACATAAATCTAACAATCTTTATTTTTTTTTCTTTCTTGCATTCAAAAAAATAAGAAATAAAAAAATAGAAGAGTGTAATACCAATGCATGATGGTAGAGGATAGTCCCATGCCCTTCTTTCCCCAGTCATACACTTCAGAAGGCTACTTCCATGGAGAGTGTAACCTGGATTGCATCCATAAATTATAGTACTTCCAGCAAAGTGACCTTGGTCACTGATTTTATATCCAAACTGTGGCACACCAGGGTCCTCACAATGTGACAGCTCAAAACCTGTGTGAGAAATAAAATGTATTTACAGAATCAAACAGAAAAACACATTAAATTCAGATTTTCTGGTTTCAAGTGGAAATCAATAATTTTCAAACTACATATAACAACATCTTTAGGATTTCTTCTCTGTTTTTAAGCAGTCTGAGTAGGATAACTGCCTATACGCCTTTCTTAGAGCATGACCAAGCTGTGTCACAAATTCAGTTTTTCTAAGAGTTCAATTAAAGACAGAAATAATCCATTATCATTATCAATAAGTTTTAAAATGTTATGATAAATTATAATCTGGCAGCTAAAGGGACTGTCCACTTACTTGTGAATAGACATTTAAAGGCTCATAAACTAAACTTAATAGCAGATTTCTTATTACTTTGCATAGTAACAACAGCAGCACAATAGCACCTGTGGCACCAAAGAAAATCTGTTATTTTCATCAATCCCTATCCTAATTTTTTATTCAGTAGTTTGCGAACTTAAGAACTAGATGCAGGAATCAATGATGATGATTATATAGAGAATTCAAGCCAAACAACTTGGATGTTTTTGAGACTTCAGAGATGTGAAGCAAGAAGAAAACAAAATAACAATGCATTACATTGGGAGGTATATGGGAAACATAAGCTGCAATTTTGGAGAAAAAATTTCTATTCCAAATCAAGTTTTATGTTATTAACTGGGAAGCAATTTGAAACCTCACTTTGTTGAAAACCAAATTTTACCAAGATCATGTGGCTTAGAATGTGCGTAGGAAAGACAAAAGAGCCTTTGTATCAGATTGCTACTCCTACATGTAGGTAATATGGGAGGAAATCAAGGGGTTTTCATGTCTTCTTTGTTCAACAATCATTCACACAGTATTTGTTCATCTGGTCAGCAGTTGGTAGCTTTTCACAACCCCTCCTCAGATTCTGCATTGCTATTCTTGACTGAAAAAAAAATATTTTATTTTATAGTCAAAACACTTGTAAATGCATTTTAAATTTTGGATAAGGCTAAGGTAAAGGGGAAAAAAAAGTATCAAATGCTGTATGTTTCTGGTTCTTCCTTCAACTCTTTTCATGTGTGACTGAACAGCCTCCACAACCTCTGACCTGAACTTTTCTCATTCCTGAGCTATTGTTTATTGTTACATTGTGTGCTGCAGAAGCTCTGAAAGACATTTAAGTGAGTCCCAGATGAAGAACCATTGTTGAAAATACTGGTCTGGACACTAATTGACCAGTTAGAATTTCCTGTCTTCTAAGAAAACTTCTCACCACACTGAAAAGCAGTTCAAATCTGCCTTGATCCCTGATTTGTCCTGAATTCTGGACAGCCTCCTTACAGACACAGAACCAAAGCCAACTTTTTAACAGATCACCTCCCTTTTGAAGATGAACATGTAACTCCATTGCCTAACCATGGGATCGAGCAGCATTTTCGCTGCCCTAACTGCGAGTGACCAGTCAGGGCACGGTGGGGCAGTTTATGTGCAACAACACACAGGGAGAACACCCCTTTGAAGGGTGAATCTTCCACTGGCCCAATAGAGAGACTTGAAGTCCTCATAACTCAGCAAAGGGGCACTGTTTTAAGACAATCTGCGCAGCTCAAGGGTGCTCATCCAACCTGACCCTCAAGGCATAATGGTGGGCACTCCTCTGAGAAAAGGCTGCAGCACTGACTGGGAGGTTTGCACCATCTCTCCTGGTTTATGGATTCACTCAGACAGAGCTCAGACACAGCTCTTCCTTGTATCCAATCTAAACATGGCCTCTTTCAGTTTAAGGACAGTAACCCTTGTCCTGTTATCACATCTCCTTGTAAAGAGTCCCTCTCCATCTTTCTTGTAGGCTCTCTTTAGGCACTGCAAGGTCCTATATGGTCGCCCCAGAACCTTCTCTTTTCCAGGCTGAACAGGCCCAAATCTCTCAGCCTTTCTTCATAGGAGAGGTGTTCCAGGCCTCTGATCATCTCTGTGACCTTCTTCTGGACCTAATTTTTTTCTTCCAATTCTACCAATGTCAACAAAAGAAGATTCATCACTGTTCAGGCTAAGAATTCTTCAGGCTAGGAAAGTGTACTTCAATATGAATGTCTTAAAAGACAGGAAATGTTATTGATAAGATTCAAGTGCTGGGCTTGGTTGTACCTATATAAGTAAGAAAAATTAAATTCCTTGACACTTACATAGTAACACAGTACTGAAATTCCTATCTTTAATCATAGAGTACAGTCCTGTTCTGTAACATGCTATTATAGAATATAATTATGCAACTTTTATCTGAAAAATAATTACATACTCTTTTATTATCTTGAAATATTTTTCTTTCATATTTCAAGAATTATGCTATTTTTTATTAGAATTAGTTTTAAAAACATTATGTCGAGCTTTTAAATGAACCATTTTTGAACAGGTGAAAAAAGAATGATTTGAGCACAAGGACAAAAAAAGATGTTGATAGCTGCATTGCAGAATTACCTTATAACACTGTTCTGTTTGATAAAAATTAGTTCTACATAATAATTCAGTGATGGCAAAAAAATTATACACTAAAAAAGTCATATACACTATATGTCAATAGTCATGTGCCACAATTTTCAGAAACTGACATTTGGTACAGTAGATATATAGATGTATAAGCTTCTTCCATACACCCTCTAAACCAGAGATCAGAAACATTTTTCTCTCTCCTCATCTTCATAGTTTAAATCCATATATTTTTTAGTTTTTGTTAGGAACCTTTCTTTAGCATTTTGGTTCCAAATTGGATTATTCCAAACAATAATCCAAGCTCAGAAACAAAAGCAAAGTAACTTTCAGAGATGAGTCTTAAGAAGGAGAACTTAGTTTACCTATGACTTATCTTTATGAAGCAATGCTTTTTAGTTGCATTTCTTTAACTACTCACACAGTTCAATATTTTCATGTGCTAAAACAATTAACTGAAACTTACTCTGTTTTTGCTTATGCTATCCAAAATTGAAAAATAACCTTCTAGAAAAACAACAGTGATTATTGTACCAGATTAAATGTCAAAGCCAGGTTTCAGTATGCTATGTGTTTTGGGTTTTTTGAGGTGCAATGAAATTATATTATTTTGGCGAATAATTTGCTGTCAATTTCTTCCATAAATGTCATTGAACTGCATTTTCATCTTATGAGTGAGGAATTTTCATTCCTTTAAAAGTATAAATCTATCCCTACTGTTTTCTCAAATACTTACTGGTATACACAAGCTGAAAACCTTCATCAGTGCCCTCCATGTCCGAGTTAAATTCCAACCATAAATGATTTGAAGTGCTACTTAGTGTCAGACCTCTTAATGATGCCCCAGTATATGCTCCCAGCAGGTGAGCAGTGTTGTCTTTTCCATCATAGATCTGTAAAAAATTTGAGCTTTATGGTTATGAAGAAAGAAAAGAAGATATCTTTTACTTACAAAGCAATTCTGTACATCCGCATTAAGAGGAAGAACAGCTGTGCCAAGGGAGATCAATTGCCAGTCAACCTGAAGTACTGTTCAGATAAACTTTTTGCCTCTCCTGACTTAAGCTGATTTAGGTGTGGTGAATTTTCAAATGCAGTTTAAAATACTTTTTTAATTTCTTTTTTAAATAACAATAGAAGGGGGGAGAGGTGCCATATCAGCTCAGGTATTTTAGATTTCTGTGTATTTCTTTCACTGTCAGTATTGTAATGCTAATCACAACCTATCAGTAAACACCTATAATGTCTATCTGCCTCAAGTCTGAAGCAGCACAACAGAAAAATCTCACCTATCCTCAACTTTGGCCTCTTAAATAAATCTGTGGTGGCTTTTTATGCTGTGAAGACAGGTTAAAATATAACTGTGAAGTCAAAGGAGACTAGGAAATAAATTTAACAACTGCTTCTGTAAGTTGAAAGAGTTTTGTAATCTATATGTAAATCATAGCACCACATTTTTATTATTTATTTTTCTTCAAGTGTTGTTCTTTTCCATCTATCAGAATAATAAATATGTAGAACAATCTTCTAATAATTCTCAGGAAATTTCCTTACAAATCTGGTTGCTGTGAAAAACCACAGGTTGTTTTATTCCTGTAATTCTGAGAAAAAAACTTCCTATAATTTAAGTATAATTCTCACCCAAACATTATTTCCTGTAGTATTTATTTAGGGACTTCTATAATAACTAAAACTTTGATTGATGTGGTTTATGGAAAATTTCACTTGCAAATCAGTAAATTGACCTGTGAATAATTTTCAAATTGCAATAAAGGGAAATTGTAAAGCCTTATTAAAATATATTGAATTGTCTGAAGTTCTAAATTCTATTTTAATTCTATTAATTACAAGTGTAATTAAAGTTTGAATTTTTAAACAGGAATCTTCATCAGAATGAAATCAAAACACGTACACCAGCAAGAGTAGTAAGGCAACAAAGTAAATGTGAAGTATTAGGATGCCTGTTCCCTATCTGTAAGAATGAATTACACACCTAATTCCTATTTTCCAGAAATCCTCATGTCTCTAGTAATAAAAAAGACTTTACATTTAATGATATGCTGAAATAAAACAAATAAATGACTTCTAGCAATCAGTGATGAGTAAATAATTGTACAGGAGTTTAGGATGCACAAGATGACATAATTCTTTGTTTTTTACTGACACAAACAAATAAATTCCAACAAACTTAAATTTAGAAGCCAATGTCCTCATATGAAATAAAAGTAAGATATCAGAGAAGAAAAAAGTGCAATTAATGCATATCAATTAAAAATAATTTCAATATATATAAAACAGTATTAAAATAGATATCTTTTTTAGAAACTCCTTTAGACTGTACTGAGATCAGGAATCAAGGCAGAAAAAAGAAAATCCCAAAACTTACCCCAAAGCAAGAAAACCAAAACCAAATCAAACAAAACCAAACACAAAAAACCACCCAACCCAGAAAATTAATTCTGAAATGCACTTAGTGGTTTTAGCAACCGAAAAACACCCATTTCAGGAGAGCTACTGGTATCCAGCAGATATATTTACATCATGATAGACTTAAACAAAACCCAGCTTGAATCCACTCATAATTAACAGTAACCTAGGATTCAGGATTTATTTTATTTTTAAAAACTATATAAGAGTAAACTATTTCTTGTTATCTGTGTTTCACTAATACTTCACCAAAAAAAGCTGTAATAAGTTATACCAACTATTCTCAATGTCTCACCAAAACTTTGAATAAGCCATGTCATGATACCAATTTTCTTCATGTTAAAATTTCCTCACACACACTTTATTGCAAATTTTGTTAGATGTCCTACCCTATTAATTCTTTCACATTAGTCCACTGACATCTCATTAGTTAATATTCATTCTATTTCATGGGCTAACTAGCTGTCACACCGTATAATATTTTAAACCTGTATAATTTCTATGAAGGAACAGAATTTAAAGTATCAACAGATCAGAAACTGATTCATTTGAGTAGGAGAGCTGCATTTGGCTGAGGCAGGATTGTGATTCATCTGAACACTAAATTATATTATTTTTTTCCATTGGTTGCTGTCTTTCAGACATTCAACGTACCCCTCTTTTTAAGACATTGGGGTCTCCCTTAGGACAAAAAATGAATGCATGTTTTGTAGTGTAATTCTCAATTTAGGTCACATTTTCATTTCTCTTCTGCATTTGAGTAAATAGGAAAAAAATGGAAATTTATAGAATCATTTGAATGATACATCTGAGTTTGCCAGTAAAGTGGTAGCAGACCCTTTTGAGATTTACAGAACCAGCACTTTCTTTTTAACCTTGTTAAACTAGATGGGAGCTAAATATTTGGAATGAATTAGTAATTCAGTTTCATAATTTTTTTTGGAAGGCGATATTATATGTGAATTAAGGTAGCATAATTAACTTATTTTTAATATATGCTTTCTTTCTTTTTTTTTTTTATTATTTTAAAATATACTTTCCTATAGGCCTTGCCAACACATCTAGATTTAAGTCACTTGGGTGCTAAAGATAAATCCAAGAATAATCATTATAAAAATATTATTCAGTTGGATATATTTTTCTTAAAGTCATCCTGTAACATGAATTCAAAGACAATTGATTCATGACTGGATAATGCCTGCATATGCCAATAACAAACTATTCAGAAAACAGTCCATCTTTATTAGGTATTTAATGGCCCAATCTTTTAAATGATGAATTCATAAAGAAAGAAAAAAAACACAGAAAATTGTGTTAATCTTCTTCATACCACAATAATATGTTGAAATGTTATAGGGAAGGATGCTAATAGCTCATACTCTACCTAAATATTTGAATAGATGTTATATTCAATTTTTGAAAGAAGTGTTGTTTGCATTTACAATTAGAGGGAAAATAAAACTTGCTAATCTCTTTAGTGGCTCCATTACCAACAAATTTTAAATGGAAATTAATGCCCTTTTTTCTGCTAATTTATTTAAATATATAAAATTTTAGCAAGGGAGCATCGTAAGTGAATGTATAAAATTTGTGCATTTTAATCAAGCTATTTTTAAGATCTTCCATTGAAACATAAAAGGCATATGGATATGAAGATCTGTTCCTTTATAAAGAGAAGAAATAACATAAAATCAGCAGCTCAGAACTGAGGCTGTCAACGCCCTGTCAAATGTATATCACATGCGAATGGAAGCACTAATATAAAGACAGAAAAGGGTCCATATGTTTGGGGGATGTGGTGGGGGGGTTGTCCCCTCCATTTATTACCTTTTTCTCAGTCTTACATTCAGGTTGATATTATTAAAAGTACTATTATTATTATAATCATTAAGATTCTAAAGGAACAAAGTAGCAAAAAGATCCAAATATCACTTCAAAGTCTTTGCCTAAAACCCTCAAAAATGGAATCATGTGCACACATTTAAAATCTGGCCCACAGAGGAGACAATGAACAAATGCAGTAAAACTGAATCCTCTGTGTTTGGCAGGAGCACAAACAGTGCTGAGCCAAGCACAGCCAAAGAGAACCCTGAGTGCCAGTTCTGTTTGCTGACACGCTGTTACCTGCCTGTTGCTGCAGTGAGTTCTTTAGTAAAAGGAAAAAGAAGGATTGCTTTATAATGTTATTAAAAATAATTCTTAAATCAATATTTTATACATAGGTGCAGTATCACCTACCACATCAATTCTCACACTACATAAAGCCAAGCACATAGTCTACTACAAGAGAGAAAAAAAATATTTTCATATTCAGTGTTCCTTTCTCATTTCTTTTAGGTTTACTCAATGAAATCTGTCTGCAGAATTTTTGGAGTTGCTTTGTTGTTTGTTTTTTTTTATGTTACCAGAAAACCAGCCATTAATTGGTACCATACAAAGGTACCTTTTTATTAATGCTGGAATCTACTGAAAATAAAGAAAACAATTATATTTGCCATGTCCAAGTTTCAGTTTTAATAAAAGCGCCTTTTTCGCTGTAAATCAAAATATTAAAATATCTTTGATATGAAAGAATATTTTCTACATTCAACAGATTTCAATACAAATAACATGTTCACCACTATCAATGGACTATTCAGACAAGCAGAACAATGCTAACTCTGTTCTTTCTGTGTATATCTCAAGGACTTGCTTACAGCTAGCAGAGACAAGAGAGTTTATGAGCAAAATTGGTGGATGCAGACAAAAGCAGGGGTAAAAAAAAAACCAGGCAGAAATATTTTCGTATCTTGGAAAAAATGCATTGTTTATCTTTGCCTCCCACATAGGTAGTTTACTCTAAAACTATTGAATTCTGGAAATATAGTCCACAACTCAGTTTTCAGTACAATTGCAAAGAAGGAAGCAAGTATTATAGAGTTTCTGAGGTTAATATTAAATAGATTGGCATGTAGTGATTGTACAGATCCTAAATTCTTCATAAGTCTTCATATAACTTTCATAAATATTAGAACAAGATATGGCACTTTCAAGAGCAGGTTATATCCCTACATTAAAAAAAAAAAGAAAAATATAGATATATTTATGTATTTCCTACAGTTTCTAATAAAACCCAAAAAGAGCTACACCATTAACGTAAGTAGCCAGAGCAGTTACAATGAAAGAACAGGAGAAATGAATACTAAATGAAGCAAATGAAAAACAAATTATATGCTCTGAAACCTCTGTTCTGTACCAGTTCAGAACAGATAAAAGAGAACTCCTCCTTCTCTGCCCCTGGAGTAATAGTGAGGGTGATGATTTACTTGTGTTAAATAAGCTGGTTCCCTCTAGCGCTGCCTTCCCAGTACAGCTGTTTCATTGTTTCAATCACGGCGCTTGTCAGATATAAGCGTCATCCACGGTCAGTTAACTCACATGGCAAGCTGCAGACCTCATGATTCCATTAAAGAACTTGTCAAAATTTTACTAGAATACTCAGTCTATTCAGACTTTGAATGGAATTTTAGCTGAATACCTCTAGTGATCTAAAAATCCTAGCTGTAAGAAAAAGTAACACAAAATACATTACTAACTTCTTTGTCAGTGTTTTCATCTCTAGCTTCTGATGAAAAGAGATGGATTATCCAATCAAAGTTTGTCACTAAAAACCTGAGCTTTAACCATGAAATATTATGGAGTTGCTTCATTTGTGTTTGGGGGAAGAAAGACCTCTCCAGAAGGAGGTGTTTTAAGTATCTTGATTTTAAAATGACTGCTATACACTCCCTCATTCCCAATTGATGAGGAATTCTGTATTCACTATATGTCACTGTTTAGAAGACAGGATGAAATTGTTTTTCTTCTTTTTTTAACTTAATTTCCTTCCAGTTACAAAGCAGTGATACATATTAGGTTAAAAGCATTGTGGACTATTAATGATTAATTTAAAACCAAAATATAACTGTAATGTCCTATTCCTGTAGCCAAAAGGTTATTCTCTACATTCAGCAAAACAGGCAAATTAGGCAGTATATTCCCTTTCTCAGAGGAGACTAGGAGCACAGAAAGGGATCAATACTGCAGAACTGATTCTGGGAGAAAAGTTTTGGAATATGTGACTGCTAACATTTTTCCTGAAGAATTTTTCTTTATGAAATGAACACATAAAAAAAAAAAGTGTGATAGAATTAAGACAGTTTGTGAGAATTTCATATAAGAAAGGAGGCAGGAAAAGACATTATGGATTCCACAGATATTTCTTCCCACAACTGTAAAGCCAGAGTGCCTCTGTACTGTTATGATGTCAGATAGACAGAAAAAAGTGACAATCATAACCAAGAATACCTCTTATAGTTTATTTTAGATTTTTTTTAATAGGCAGGAATTTCAGCTCCTTATTATAAATCAAGGCTGCTATATTGAAAAACAAACACTCTTAATCACACAACACCAGTTTCATTTAAAAAACACACCTGCAATATACAGTAAATATTTCTGCCACTGACATTTACAGATGAGTGGTGGCCTTCCTCTATTTATAGTTCATTTTGCATGACTCTTAATTTCACATTAATTGACTAGCAGTATTAAAGCAGAATTTTCTTCTGAAAGTCTCTGAGCTAATATTGTCAAGTTAAACATCTGAAGTGCATATGGTTCAAATGGCACTTAAAAAGTCATTAATGATTAGATCTTTTCAAATCTGTACATTAAATTATTAAGAAAGAAAAAGAAGATAAAAGATTATTTTTTTATTTTTATATTCATTTATATTTATCTAACTATACATAACTGTATCTCCATTCCCACAGTGATATATCTTTTCAATTAAGATAATAGAGTTGAATGGTTTCAACCTAAAAAATCTTGAGAAAAATCCATCCATATGCTTTTATTGGCTAACAGTTACTTGAACAACTGGTTTGGTTGGTTCATTGATTGGCTTGAGGTTTTTTCCATACGACTTACATTTTAATAAATACTAAACAGCTTTCAAATTAAATCTTTCAAAATTAATTAATGCAACAATTAAAGGGCATCCACTTGGTTCTCAAATAAGCAACAATTTTAATATAAAATAAACACACCCGCGCATTCTGGGTAGCCTTTGGTTTATTTTTTTTGCTTCTCTTTTGCTTTAAGAAGAGCATAATTTTTTGTTTGTTTAAAGCCATTTGATTTTATTTTTCTTTTAGATGCCTGATTTAATTTTATATTAGTTGTTTAGGTCTGCTTATACTTTAGGTATATTTAGCCCCTTTTGGAAATGCTTGTATCTCCAACCAATGACAAGTCCTACCCTATTGTACAGATGGCTACAGTGAGATGAGATAAACCCCACAATGAGTTACAGTTGTTTCTCAGGAATAAATATTTTCATAATACCTCTCATTTAATAAGTACATGGAAGAATATGGCAGAAAAAATGCTTTCAAATCAAACATGATTTGTACGGTACCTCTTGTTCCTTGGATTTCACAGAGGCAAATTTAATTAGCTTACATATTCTGAAGAAATGGACAATTATTTAATCATGGATATCTTATTGCACTGTGTGCTATTGCAGATGGTATGTGTGAAAAGACACCCTGAACAACATCAGCTTTAAATGCGTACTTGGCTAAGTAATACATCTGGAGCTATACTTTCTGGAGTACACTAATAAAATCCATGATCAAATCAAAGATAGAGGGAAATTACTCTATAAAACTACGGTAAGGTCTAGTATCCTTCTTTTCCCTTTGTTGTAGTTTTGTTCAATGAAAGCCAGATTAGAATCGTTTAAAGTGCAAAACTTAAGTACAAAAGACAGGATGTAGACTATGCTAAATTAAAGTTATGGGTGTTATGTTTTATTATGTGTAGATCACAGCTCAAGTTATGAAGATACTGTAGAAGTAAATAAATCAAAAGATGTAATTGATGAATATTTAACACTAAAAATACAAATAACCATTTAGGTAACATTTGTTTCATTATTTCAACCTCTTTTTAATTATCTCTGGTCAGAAAAACGTGTTAAGAAAACACACTACGGTAGCACCCGAGGGTGCCTAATTTTAACTTTTTTAAATGAAACCAGCTTAGAAAGATATTTTGTAAGAGATGCTTTGTATCCACTTACCCAGTACTGTATTGTTGCAGACAGATAAACCTCAATGATGGGAGGTACTAGAAGTTCAGAAATAACAAATAAGTTACATGATTACATACCTTAAGAACATCTCCTTGGGCTAAGTGAAATGTTCTGGCAGAAATATTGATTCCTTTCCCTGCTTGTACCTGAATACTATAAATACATTCATGGTTGTTTTCATAGTTAAGAGGATAATTGGGGGACAATAAGATTCCTTCATTATTTGTCGTGGAGGCTCCACATTCAGCTGCAATTAAAAAAAAATGTTAAGGCATGTTTTAATAGAACACATGAATATTTTTAATAATGGTGATAATGATAATGTTAATGCAACCTAGTTCAACATTAATAATGTTTATTAATATCTAAAATCTAGTTTTAAGTACATGAGCATGACAGTGATCGGAGGCTACAAGAATATTTCCAAATTGCAATATTTTAATAAAAGTATGTCATAAACCACTGAGAGTTAAAATAATATTAATGACACATTTCATAATCATATTTTTTACAGACTCTTCCTTGAATTTTGTTGGATTTGTTCCAATTTCTCCAACACTGAAATTCATAAAGACATACAAATTAAATGCAGGTAGAAGAATTCTATAAATTTATTTCAGTATTTTTTGTATATACACACACATGAATAAACATATATGTGTGTAGATACATATATTTACACACAGGTTAATGAATTTATTTTTTTTTCCCCTCTGGTATTATTTAAGCAAGGCAACCAACATAGTCAATGGCGTAAATCATAGTAGGAAAATATTATGTTATAGCTACCAGATAAATATAGAAAAAACAATTTCAATAACAAAAAAAGAATAAAAATATAACTTCCGTGAAGGAAAAAAAAGTTAATTTAATTATTTTCAAGTAATACAGTTATTATTTCAAGAAGTAAAGCTTATAAGTTAAGACTTTGGCAATTCATTTAATCACCCAAAAAAGCATGGAAACATAAACACTTGTGGCAATGCTTCATTAGGCATTATTAACTAACTTTCACTTCCAATCTTACATTGGAATATATACATATTTTTAATGAAGTAATTTTTAGCATTTAGTTACCACATATTTTAAATAGTCACTGAGAAACTATTACAATTCTTTGCCTCCCTTTTTATTTAATCTTGATAAATTGCCATTATAGTGCAATAAAAGAGTATTTCCTCTCATTTTAACAGATGTAGATTAATTTTAAATTCAACTGTAACAATAAATTTTATAGATTTATGTTTGCTTTTAGGATTATTTCAATATTCTTGCTGCTTATTTTACCCACTCTCATGTGAATTCATCTTACTTATTTTAACCTGGGAAGTTAACTGATTTATAATTTCACAAAATAAGTAATGTTCTGCAAAACTAATGGTAATTGTAATGGTTTGCAAAGAAGTTTAGGCAAACTATGGTGTCTATTCTAAAAGCTTTTATTTTTTATAATATTATTATAACCTCTACCCCAGACTTATTTGAGCAACATTCAGGATATTCAAATATGTATTTTGTACATGAAATTAAGACAGCAATGACAAAAAATCCTCAACTTGATAAACTACCCTTTCTGTATGCAGCTAAAGCAGACATTGCACAGAAAGCCGGATCAGGCACAGATCACAGAACAAATGTTTGATGACTACATCTAATTCAGCAATATAGAGCAAGTACCCAAATAATTAAGGTGACATTATTTTGTCCAGGAACAGCTGGATGCACACAATCTAAGCAGAAGTGGGAAACCTTCTATACCACATGATCACATCTATCCTTTTATTGCACTCTCAAATAAATGGGTATTTGCTATTTCAAAGATGCATAGGTCACTTTGAATTACAAAAGAAAGGAGAAAGATGAGCATAATTTCAGGATTGTGAGATCTCTTTTTCCATTCCAGAGGGATATAAAAGCCAAAAGGCACAAGGTAATTATGGTATTAAGTTGATCCAGCAACTCTGGGCTATGTCAGAGCTATAATTCAAAGCAATTTTTAAAAATCTGAACACAGCAGTAAGCTAACTGTTAGGACATTGTTAGCTAGTGTTTTAGAATCATGCTAAGTTTTCTGTTAAGAAGAAGGATGTCACCATGTCATCATGTTTCATGTCATTGTATTTATCAATATGATTTTCTGAATTTAGAGAGAGAATATTGTGTTCCAAGCTGTGGATGTCCCATCCCTGGAAGCATCCAGTCAGGGTGAATGGGGCTGGAGCAACGTGACTGAGTAAAAAATGTTCCTGCTTATGGCAAAGGGATATACCACATGGTCTTAAAAGGTTCTTTCCAACCCAAAACATTCTGTGATTCTTTATATCTTGTTTTAGCAGCCAAGAAAGCTAGTTTAGTAAAAGCAGTCTCAAAAACCACAGCATAATAGAATTTCTCCCAGAGCATCATCACCGTTTCATGAAGGCACACAGCTGCTTCTTTTGTACACTCCTCAGCAGAATTCTGACAAAATCAACAGTTAGTTCCTGGCTTCTCTCCTTGCCTCCCATCAGTGCAAATTATGGCTTAAAAAGCCACAACAGAACAACTAACCCCAAAGGATCCCCAAAGGAACCCACCTGCTCAGACAGGAGTTAGGATTATATTTTGGAACAGATGTTAAATCGAACAGGGAAGGTCCACAGTTAATACTGTAAGGGGTTCCAAACTACAGCATAGATAGTTCTGAGAATCTTCACTCCTATCTATAAACATGTGTGGATGAAAAAGCAAGCAGGGAACAGAGCCTGTATGAAACTGAGTCACACAGGCTTCTCACTCTGGCCTGAGAAATCATAAGAAAGAATCCAAACAGTCCTTGATGAAGGACAACAATTTGCAGGTGTTGTTTAGTCAAGGGGTGGTGTTCCACTTAACCAATGTTGGTGATGTGCACCTTTAATAACCAATGAGAGTTTTACCTCTCAGACCTTCTCGAACATATGCATAAAAGAAGATTAAGAATAATAAACTTTGCCCTCTTGGACAATGCAACTAAGAGAGTCATGTACTGCTTCACAGTATCTAATATAGCGTGACAAACATCAACAGGTGGGTATATTGTTTAAAGTCACATGGATCTTCATGGGACTTCCAGTTTCTTTCTATTCTCTGATGTTAATACTACAGCAAAGATAAAAAAGAGACCATAATAATTCTATTTGCATTTAAGTACTGAATAAAAAAGTGTCAGGAAAAAAAAATGTAAATGGAGTTCTTAAGTTTAAAATAAATACAAATTTAAACACATGCAATTTTTTCAAAGTGCATGAAAAATAATTTTAACAGGCATTACAGTGAGTGAAAGATAAAAAAAGACTCAAGAGGCAAACCAGGATAAAATAAAGGGAATATGTGTAAATAGGGAAACATAGAAGAGAGAAAAGAGGTGACAAAACAGCATTTCAGAAGTAAAGGGAATGGATCAGAGAGCTTGTAATCATTCTTTAAATCATACATAGAGCTGTTATCAGAATTTAAAAATATTTTTAACTGTATTAATGTCTTGTTTTAGTAATATTCCCTGTTTGACAGAGATAAAAATCAGGCTGCTTTATTAATAAAGTTTTGGGATTTTAAAAAAATTCTACTTGTCTCAGCTGAAACCTAGAACCTGCCCTACACACTTTTCTTGTATGATATGAAAAAAAAATAGGAAAAATATTCCACTTCCAGATATATTTTCACAAAGACTTTAATTCAGCCTAATATAAAGTAGAAGAATGTAACAGTAAGTGAATTACTGAAGTGAATTACTGTTTTCAGACTTGGGTAGAAATAATAGATTCATTTCAGTATTAGAAAGGAAAATAAACAAAAACCTCAAAGGAAAAACAATGAAAAGCAAAAACTTCTATAATAAGATAATTATAATAAAAGACTGTTATGCTTTTGGCTATGAATGTGTGTTCATTGCACCTTTCCATAATAAAACAGATTTTAACTGCTGATTATTAGTGTATTTAAATTCTGTAAGTGAGTGAGATATCATTGTGATTGCAAACAAGGAATGAAATGCATATATTTGGGTAACTTAACCATTTGAACACTATTCTTCAATGAATCAAATGGCAAATAGAATAAAATAAAATGTAAAAAAATAAAATAAAATAAAATAAAATAATAAAATAAAATAAAATAAAATAAAATAAAATAAAATAAAATAAAATAAAATAAAATAAAATAAAATAAAATAAAATAATAACTGATTAAATTCTTGCGATAATTATCAATGAACATACCATGGTCTGCTCCTACAGATCAAAATTCAGACAGTGTGAAATTGTTTTCTTTAATACAATCTTTTAGAATCAAAATACAAGAGCTACATCTAGCAGTTCTGTGTTTTGAAAAGATGGTATCTCTTGGTTAGGAGACTGTATTGCAACAGCTTGACTGGACAAATAAGCAGAAGCATTCTAAAAAGGATTTTATCTTTAAACAACTTTGTACTAGATTGCAGTTACTTCAAAAACTGTATCTAAATTCAGTGCTCAACAAAGGGTTTCTTATTAAGCCGTTTGTCTTCAGACGTTCTACCTCTCCAACTGAAGGCTGGCAGAAACCAGAAAATAGACTCTTGTCAAAACAAGGCAGCAAAACTGATGATAGCAGAAAAATTCTGAAAGGATTAATTTGTTACTAAAGCTTTCTTTCTGTGAATAGCATGAGTCATAAGGTTATCACAAGTTTTCCAGGCAGTTTTTACATTCTGACAGGTTAAATACAGGGAACCCTATGCTGATGAAAAAAGTGAAAAGAACGTTGTCTTCTTCAAACAGAAAGAATAGTGGGGTTTCCTTTTATTTTACATTGTTCCAAAATACAAGACTTCCTTTCATATAGAAAAAAAATGATTAACAGAAATTTCTCATTATGTACCTGCAATACAGGTATCTACTTCCTAGTTGATGTGAACATCAAAAGATTCATGTGGCTGTTTGTGTATTAAACTTCTATTCAATATTCTTTGGCTGTTTTATGACTACATTATATAATGAAAGACAGTATTTCCATATCTGGGAAGATCCTGTATTTATGACCTAAAAATAATTTTAGAAAAGGATGATATTTTTACATCAATGGCCAAATGGCCAATGGCCAAATACAAAAGAAATCTTTCTTAGAAAGAATTGCTTACATTATTAATGTTATTTTTCATAACCGAGTGTTCCAGCTGACATAGCATGACAAATGAGCTTCTGCATTAATGTTAACAATGAAAATTGTATTTTAAAACCCCACATTCTATATTAGATTAATTTAAACTACCATGTGCATGATTTTCCTTTAAACTAATGTAACATTCTTATAAAAAACCCCAATGCCAACGAAAGTATCCCAAAACATGAATAACCAAAAAAACCTCCACAAATAACTCAGGAACGGCTGGAACTGTTGGAAATTTAGTAAAAATTTTCACATGGGGAACAGGAACAGTTAAAACTTGATGCAAAATCTTAAAATACATAAGAAATATTAGAAAACTTCTTATTACATATTAATGCTATTATACTAACATATGACGAGGCCTCAATGGCTGTACTTTGATTTTTTCAGGAATCCTATCCCTAAAGAAAATAATAGATATATAACATACTCACACTTTACAGAAGAAATATTTAAGGGAATAAATTTACTTCTGATGAACAGAAGAAATTTTAGTATTCATTTGTTCCAAGATGAATCAATGGCATTTACAAGTGGATATCACTATCCTTAAACTCAGAATTCACGCTGCCCAAACATTCCACATATTAAAAGAAGTCTCAAAACGAGCAAAAGGACATTTTTTGAAGCAAAATATATTAAAAGCAATCTTAATCTTAAATGTTTTGCATGCACAGAAATAGATAGAGCTATGCAGATGAAGGAAAATTATAGGTTTAAAGAATAGGAGGTGCAGAGGGTGGCCAATGGTTCTCTTGTTAATATGAGAACTTACTACAGATGTATTGTGGAACCTTGCCTTCCTTATTTATGAATATCCAGTCAATGCTGAATTAATTTTTTTCTCTCATATAATATAACCTTTCAGACATATTTGAAATATCTGTTATTGGTGTTCTTTGAAAAGCACCTTAACTAAAAGCTTGGCAAAAAAGCCAAATCAGCAAACACCTCGGCAAAAAATTTCTACCAGCAAAAATTCATGTACATTATCTGAAAAGTATGCATCATGACAGAAATGAATGAGTTTGCCTGTACATATTTTATGTCTTTTTGTCTTTTTTATTTTCAAGGGGAATTTTCAAGGGGATTTTCCTTAGAAATCTCTAAGTCCAGAATTAGAGACTGCTTAGGACCTACTGAGAAGAATGAACAAAAAAAAAGTGAAAGCACAGAAGAAAAAAGTTTTAATGTCAGTGTCTTCCAGTGAAGGTTTAGCAGTCTGGAAAGAAACCGTGTGGCCCTAAGAAAGCCAATTGAAAAGACTTGATATGACTAGGAGGCTATGAAGACATAGATTATTTTACACAGACATAGAAAAAATTAGGGTCTATAAATTCAGACATGACAGTTATAATGAAATGTAATACAATTTGGCTATTGGACAGCCTTAAAAGGAATGAAAAAACAGATTGGAAAAGGGCAGGGGAGAGAGAAAAAAACCAAAAACATAAGAAATCCTGGCATAATAGAGACAACTTTCTACATTTCTCTGAAAAGCAATTCCAAGAAAGAAATATGTGTGCTGAATACAAACACCGCATTTTGTTATCACTTGAGTATAGCAGAAAAATAAATCATGAAACTAAGGAATGACAGTGTTCTAACAGATCTTTAATCATCTTCATTCCATTATTGATTACAAGAAAAGTTTAATTTTATCAATGTCACTTTTTTTCCCTTTAAAGCAATAATAATTGCTCTTGTTTCTTCCTATCTGTAACACAGTTACAGGAAAATTCTTGTAAGCTATCTATAGCAATGAAAATTATAAAGAGTACTAGGCAAAGACATCTGAGCTCCAAACACATCTGAACATTTCAGACACACTACAACTCTATGAAGGCAACTCCATATTCACAAACTTAAGATGATTTCTCTGCTCTGATTTGCAAGCTGGAGACAAACCCCCAGCATACTGAGGAAAATGTTCATTCCTTAAGACCACCCAGAGTTTAGAGTTTACTTTTATAAAAAGTCAAAAGTGAACATGCATTCATATTTACTGTAGGCATTGTTTCAAGAATGTATTACTTAGAATCAAAAAGTGACCTCTTTTTCACAGTCCATGGAAAAGTTCAAAGCAATTATTTTAAAGATTATGGACTTTTTCTGTCATCATTAGATACACCCATTTATTAACAGCTTGTTCTGTTGGCTGTGTTGTAGTTAATTTGCAGTAACTCATATAGACTGTGTTTTAGTTTTGTTAGCCAACACTGAGTGGATAACACACAAAAGTTTCAGCTACCATCGAACTATTCTTGCCCTGTGAGTGACTACAGACATCTACCCCAAGAAGTGCTGCATCATGTGGTGCACAGAAAAATGGAAAATATTTGTGCTTTTTTTGAAAAATATTATTATAAAAATCGTTGTGAAGTCGTACTGAAATAATACCATCACTTGAGAAATTCAGCCTTAAAAATTCAATATTCTTTTTTTTTGTTATTTGAACATTAGTTTTCCATTTAAAAATTTCTAATTTCAAAATTTCATTTCTTAAGTCTTCAGTCAAAATTTTTGAAAAAAGACTATCTTTATAGACTGAATAATAACATTAATTAATAAACATTTATCCATATTCTAAATAAGAAAATGAAAGACATCTTCTAATATTCTGGCAAATTATTTGGTTTAGAATTGATTATGATTGACTACTCTGTTTCAAAACCCAACACATTGGTCTTTGTTGTACACAGGGATGCTTGGCCTTCCACCAAACCTGTCTTCCTTGCATTCTATTCTTGTGCTGACAAGCTGAACACAAATACTATGATCAGTGGTTACTTCCCAGTTGATGTTGTGTGTATGTGAAAGTGCCCATCATATCAGAAGCATTATCTCATTAAGCATTTTGACAAAAAACACCAAACATGAACAACAGTAAAAATACATAAATTTTGAGCCCAATATAAGTGGCCAACAGGAATTTCTACTCATGTCTAGTTTGAATTTAATTATTATGACATATAAATTAATCAAAATATTGACAAATGATACTTATCGAGGGAAAATTGCTAATTAAGCCATTCTAATTGAGACTATCTTTTTTTTTCAAAAGTAAGGAGAAAACATGTTGACTATAAAGTAATTTATTACTTGTGTTACAGCTCTTCTCTTTTCCCCCAACAAACAAACATAAACATTATTTTTCTGGGTCATGAAAGATATATAGCAATTTTTTTTGCATTTATGCTGCTGTGGAAGTTTCTTTTTGCTGGTAATTTACCAGTTCATTTTATATTAACACTTCCTGAAATTTATTACTGAAATTTAACCTGTCTTCTTGACTGTGCACACAGTCATTATTATTCTTATGGTTAAAAATTCATCAACCCCACCACATAAAGAACTTTTATTCATCCATTTCTCTGATTCAGCTTCTAAATCATCTCTTCTATAGGAACATATATAAATGTGGTTAATGCATAAGTTAAATTCATAATTTTCCTTGTACTGAGGTAAGCATAGGAGTGGTTTGGACCTAAAAGTGTTGATACAGTAACTGACAACAAAAAGAGGAAACACATAATCCATCCATAGGTACTATGCAATCAACATCTGAAAGACATTTACATTTTGCTAACATATAATTTGGTATGAAAAAATAAAATATGTTAGATGTACACTGATACAGATGTTTTCATTTATAAACCTTTCCATATAGTATATACTCTTTAATAAATTTCAGCAATATATACTCTTAAATAAAAAATAACGCAGACACTTAACTATCCTACTTTTTAGAGATCTTATTGCTTTAACAGTTCTCAGCAGTATTGAAAACCATATAATTTAGGAAGAATTCTGCTCAATTAATATTCTTTAGCCATTTAAAGCATAATTTCTAGTCAAAGCTACACAAATAGGCTACCTCTACAGTGAGTGAAGAGTGTTAGGCAGGAATCATCAGAAAGTGTTTCTTCTCAATTATCTTAGCTATCATTTAAAAACCAGAATAACTGTTCTAAGGATATTCTGAGCATATGGTTCTTACATAGGATGTCCAGGTTGACTTTGCTCCTATAAATAGACCTAGTTTTTTGAAATAAATCTGGTCTAAGCGCTCTAACTATAATTTTATAATACAGGTATCACTTGGAATCTTGCATTGACAAAAAATAAAAAAAATTCAGTTACCTGACATCTGAACTGCTAAATGCTGATTTAAATTTATACCCAGTTTTCCGAATTTATTAATCCAAATAAGAAGAGTAAGCATTGTGCCTTTAATTTTAATTGCTTTCAAGTACGGACTAAGAAGTCCATTTATAGTTATAATATTAAATATAATAAAAAAAGGTTGAAAAAATTGACTAAGGAGATGAGGAGAATATGATAGTACATTAAAAAGAGGTGTATTACTATGCTTTTCCATGCTCAAAATCTGCAAGTCCATGGACAATGACTACACATACAAGCAAATGAAAGCAGCTGACCACGTACCCACACACCTTGGCAGAGGTGCACTCCATACTCGTCGTCCACCACCAAGACAAATAACCTCTGAAGCTCCTTCTAAACGATATCCAGAGGAACAGGAGAATGTCAGAATATCTCCAACACCAAAATTAAACCCTATTCTGTTACCAAATTGTGGGACCCCAGGATCTTCACAAGGTTCAAGATTATACTCTGCAAACAAGAGCAAGTCAGGTTGTATGAGAACACGTTCTCTACCACTCATATATGTAATCTTGCAGTCTAGTAATTACTGTTTATTTCCACCTGAATAGCAATACAGGCATCAGATTTTAAACCAAATTTTTAGTGCAACTGTTAAATTGATAATTAGATTATGTTGAAAAGTGAGGCAAATTAAAACATTCACTATGTTTTGAGGATGTATGACACAACTTGTTTTATCATTCTTGTAAGAGCCATAAATAACTCCAGTAAATAAAACATATTTTAAAAATGGTACAACAAAACCTGAATAGTTGACACCTCAGCTCATCTGAAATTTCAGTAACTGAAATTAGACTAGTTCTGTTTCCTCCCCTCACTTGATAATGTGTCTTACAGTTTACTGCCATTTGTTCATCATGTAGCACAAATATGTCCTTTGCCTCTATAGAGGCATAGAGGTTCACTTGATTTAAAATTATTTGCTTAGGTAAAAAATTATATAATTTTTCAGTCTATATATTCATTAAAATAATTTCAATTCTTTTTTTCTTTATATAACATACAGAAAAAACTCCCAAAATAGCAATTTTTCAGAAGCCAGATAATACAGGAATTTACTTACCAGAGAAAGAAATATTAAATCCTTCATATGATATTGAAAAATCTGAAATAAACCGCAACTGAGCTCTGAAATTTCCATAGAGACCAGCATTGATTGGTGAAGGAAGCTCTGAGCCAGTCAGACGTGCCAATGGCTGTGTGAAACTGCCATTCTCTGTTATCAGCAAGTAGTCATGATGATCCTCCAAATGAAATGTGTAGAAGGTGAATTGCACACCTATTAGAAAAAGTACAATTAGATTTACATATCGACCTATTAACATCCATGTAAGTAAGCCAAGGTTAAAATCCATGCATTGCATTATGACTCATCATTTGGAAAATGAAGATAATCCATTTTTTCTAAAAATTAGTATCTGTCCTGGCTTTGGAATTAAAATGTATTTGCAGCAGGTTTTATTTTGACACCATCTTGAACTTTTCCTTTAGCTTCAAAATTTGGACATCTGATTTATAGAATTTAAAGATATATGCTTCCATTTTTGTGTAAAATCCAGTGATGCGCTATGTATATTCAAAACTCCTAACAGTTAGTGGCAGAATAAAAAAAATAAACCTTATTTCTCACAATCACCAGTATCCTTGAATAGAACCAGTGAAAGGAAGGATTATAAAATATGTGATATTAAATTTTAATGGTACATACAGTAGCAGCACCAATTCCCCCCCAAAAAATGGGAAGTGTCTTAATGATGTGTCACACGTCAATAGTATAATGTTTTTGCCAATCATCATATATAAATCACACACCTAGAAAGGAAGATATCTCCTGGAACACAGTAGCAATAAAAACACTTAAAGATCAAGACAATTAAATCACTTCTGCATTTTTAACTAAGGGTTAGAGCATGATCTTTTGGTAGAATGTACAGAAAAGCCAAGAAAAATAAAGAGAAGAATCCATTAGCTATCTTAAGTGATTATGGATAGCTCTAGTGTAATACCATTGTCAGTTTTATCATGTAAATTATAAACCAATAATTCAGTCTCTACAAATATATCTGATGATGTAATACTTAGGATGATCCATTCATATGATTGCAGATTAACATAGCAGATGAAGATTAATGAACTTTGGGTACTTACATGGCCAACAGATTTTGAATAGCAAACATAACTTAATCAAAAAGGAAAGAAATAGTTCCTACAGGCTCAACACTGCACCACTCACCCTACTCCTGCCACCACCAGCCCCAAATTTCCCAAACAGGGCCATAAAATCCAATCTAGATATACTCTGCTTGACTCAGCTGTCTAAATACAAAAATATTGTACCCCTTCAGGTGTTGTAGGTTACCTTTTCTAGAACTCAAATGCATCTTTGGAAGCTCACACCTAAGAAATACAGCTTGTATGGGTATCTGGAATGCAAGGACACTAGGTTTATGAACCTGGTAAAGGACTTTTCAGTACAAGAAGCAAAGACAGGAAATGAGAGAAGTAATGAATGGTGTACACATACACGCATAAACTTTAATGAGCAGGATTAACTGGAGGTACTAACAAAGACCAGAATTCTTATGTTTCTGTCTGATGGTAAATTAGATGTATTACTGTAATCTTAAAGCAGTTAAATCTTAGTAATTGATGATAATGGGGGAAAGAATTTTACCGTGGGCCTCATGAAAATTATAAATTTGCCATAGAGTGCTTGAGGGAATTCATAAAATTTGAGTGAAATATAAGATACGAGTGAAAAAAGGGTGGGAAAAGAGAGATGGCTGAGGCTCTCTAATCCCTGCACCTAACAAGTGCAACCTGTCCTCTATTATTTTAAAACTCTACTCCTGACTAGCATTCAAATGTGTCTTCTGTCCAAAGAGTGAACACATGGATGATCACTAGTGAACATTAGGATGGACTGTCTGGGGAGCAGCATGACATCTTGGGACAACTGGAAAAAGGGCCATTGGTCACAAACCAGGCAGAACCTAGTCTGAGTAGAATCTGGAGTCCAGCTCCAGCTCCTGGGTCAGAATATGGAAGGTTGGGGGAGCACACTCATGTGCATATGTGAGTGTCACTTCTAACAGACTCCTTTTCCCCTCAGTCTGGATGGAGAAATAGGATTTCCTTGCCTGTGGTGTTCATGTCTGCTCCACTGCTGCTGGTGTTTCTATGTGTGTCAATAAGACACTTGCCTCTGTCCTTGTTAATTTGTGTGACCAGCCATGTACAGTGGCATCTTTGGAACACATGCTTAGTCTTGCCATCAGCTGGACATAGAGATGAGACCAATCAGATATCTTGGATCTATCTTTTACTTCCCTTTAAAGAGACTGGAGAACCATTCAGCTTTTCAAGCAGATACCTCCTTCCCTTCTTGAAACTCCACACACATCACATACTCCCTCTGGATCCAGAAAAACACATTACTTAGTAACACTGATATAGAAGTTACTGGATGAGATTTGATTTTATTTTATGCTTATGGTAAAAAAAAAAAATAATCCAAAAGATTTATTCTGGCTTTTAAAAATTCTTAATTTACTAATTACATAACCAAAGGCATTCATCTATTTTGATCATCCTTTTTATTCTCCTAGCTTGTGTGACAATAAATTGGCAAAAATCACACAAAGAATTCTGGAATTGAGATTGGGCTGCATATCTTTTGAATTAATGTATATAAATTTAGCTTGGAATTAATAAATCCTCAAATGATTGGGTTCTTTTTTTTAACTTTGTTCATACAGGATATAGTGTTGATTTCACATGAAAAGAGCTCTTTAAAAAACCCATGTGGTATATATAGAAAAGAAGACCAAAATTCAGCTCATATTTGTTGCATTTACTGCACTCCAAATTAATTTTGGCCCTTTTTATGCATGCATGTGTACTGAAACAACAAAATCAGAAATGCCAAAGAAAATTTTATGGTAGTAACCCAAAATAATGAAATTCCTGTGATTCACAGTTGAGCTTCACTGAGTATTGTTCAAACATCAGAGTCAAGGTTTAACTCAAGGGAATGTTTCAATCAATTTTCCAGATTGCCATGACATTTCTCAGCAAAACCCCAAGGTATATTACAGCAGTAGCTGTACAATTTGGTTTTCTTCAGAAAATATTCTAATCACATTAATATATGCTGTGCGACAGATTGTGTCTTCTCTGGGGAAGAATTGTAAAAGATATGTTCAGGTAGATTCCTTCTCATTCTGCCTCACATGCACCTTTCTTTATAAGGAGAGTTTTTAAAAATCTGAAATGAAGATAGGAAGACATAACACTGTAAAATGTTGATTCTCTATATTACAATCCAGACTATTGGGTGATGGGTTAATTAATTATCTCATAATTGATCTTCTAAAACATACCACTGTTGTATCACTCCATAAATTTCATTTCACCGCGTATTTAAATTGCATTCTAATCACAGATGAAATGCAATAATTATTGTCAACAGGTGTTTCCTTTTCTCTTCATAATAGTAATTAACGACATACCAACTATATTTAAAATAAATGTTCAATTCTCTAGTTAATATTTTTTTTTTTTAATAAAAAAAAGTTACAGCAAGTTGTAAAGAATACTCAAGAATTATAAAGCTGGTCCACAAGAATACAAATGGAAAATGAATTCTAAAACATTAGATACACTAGGGGAGTAAAATTAAAAACATATATTACAATATTGTTATTTAAAACAGTATATACAAACACAGAAACTATTTTTCCTAGCAATTCAACGTATAACATATATCATATGACATAAAATATACATCATAACTAAATCTCTGCATTTAATTACCTGTTATTATGTAATAGCAGTATGAAGTTTTAACATAAACATGTGTGTATATGAAAGTACTGCTCAGAATTCTGGACCTACAAGTTGTTTACTTTTTCTTGGCACTCTGACACCAAACTACAAAACTTTGTAGAAAAAAACCCCAAAATAGTCTAAAGTAAAAATCATCTCACTAATTAGTGGCCAGTAGAAGATACTCCTTGAGTTTCTGATGTTTAAATTATACTAGCCATGAAATAGAGCAGAAAATGAGATATCCAGAACAAAGTTTATTTTTCCCTCTCATTAAAATAACCCATTTAAGTGTACGGGATTAATTTTTCTAAATGATAACTACATAAACCTTAGTCACTCAGTCTCCCTACAGACAATTCATCTAGGGACTGTATTAACCCGCTGGACATTACATGATAGAGATAAACAGGTGCCTTCAGAGGATAGTTCATTCTATCTGCTTTAGATACCCTTTCAGGGTGAAATGACTCATATCCTGAAGATACATGCATTTTTCCATTAAATACAGAAGTGTCCTAATTGACTAGCTCACTGTGACATAGAACTTAACTGTCAGAAATTTAAATTAAGTAAGCCTGTGACTTATTATCATAAAAGGACAGCTATCTTCCTCATGCAGTACAACAGGAAGAGCTTAAAGAATTAATAGCCTTTTGCCAACAAGTACAAAGTATGAGGATTTCACACACTATTTCCTACTGAGAGCAAATACCCACTCTACAATTTTTTCCAGCAGCTCTTTAAGCAGCATGAATCAAAATGTCAAGTTGTGAATCAAGTCAAATTGTGACATTGCGTTCATACTTAATAACATTTCCATACAATAATATAAAACTTACAGAATCATAGGTCATTTAGATTGGAAAAGACCTCTAAAACCACTAATCCAGCACTGCCAAGTCTACCACTAAACCATGTCCTTAAGTGCCACATCAACATGTTTTTTAAATAGCTCCACGGATGATACTTCCCTGGGCAGAATGTTTTAATGACTGATAGCTCCTTCCATGAAGAAATTTTCTCCTAATGTCCAGTATTTGGACATGCCCCAGCACCTCAATGTCTTTCTTGTACTGAGGGGCCCAGAAGTGGACACAGGACCACCAGTGCTGAGTACAGAGACACAATCACTGTCCTGCTCCTGCTGGCCACACCAACTCTGATCCAGGCCAGGATGCCATCAGCCTTCTTGGCCACCTGGGCTCACGACTGGATCATGTTCAACAGCTGTCAACCAGCACCCTCAGGTCTTTTTCCACTGAGCAGCTTTCCAGCTGCTATGCCCCAAGACTTTAACATTGCATGACATTGAATTAAACAAGAATGTGAATCTATAAATATGTGTGCATACATATATGAGTGTATATGTGCTTATAAATATCCATATTTGTACTGTTGTCTTCCCTTGTATATTTTATTTCTGCAAATTTATTTTATCAATGGGATTACATAAAACATTATAAATAATTGTTTTAAATACAACAAATTGAAAATTTCAGCTATGTGCCCCAACTTTTAAGTACTTCTCTAGCTTAGTTTTTAAGAAAAAAGATAAATCAGAAAAAACTACTTTATTTTCTAAAAATTAATTAAAAAAAAAAAAAAACAGAAACCAACCAAAACCTCCCAAGTACCTTTCTTCATAATCCCATTTTTAATTTAAGAGAAAGTGTTAAAATGTCTTTCAAGAATCCTGAAAAATGTAGCCTAATCTGACCTCGTTTAAGAATCCTGAAAAATGTAGCCTAATCTGACCTCGTATTTACTGTAGAATTTGCATGTATTACATGAAATACATGTAGAATTCTGTCATGTATTACTCCAAGAAGATAAACTATTATCCATCTCCAGTACTTGCCTTCAATTCTCAGATTATAAAGCTTGTGCTGTTATCCAATGACTTCTCACACAGAGTGCAAGATAAATGACTATAAGTCTAACAGTTTCTTTACACTTTCTATTAGTCTTTCTTGCTTATCAAGAACAAAAGATACATAGTCCCTTATATTCCCACAACCCTAAAAGTCATGCATCATACCTAGAGGTAACAAAGGCAAATGTAGTATGAGATGTAGCATCAGTAAATTCAGGAGGCTTTTTCACTGTGGATATTTAGAATCAAATTACATTGACACGAAGGCATCACTTGGTAATAAGAGAGACTATGGAACAGCTGGAGCAATAATTTTGAGAGATACACTTTGCCACTTTAATGCTTTAAGGAGTTTTAAATGGGACAACTAGTCAGAGTGATTTGACACCTAGATGAGAAACTATCACACTATTTGTACAAAATTGAATAAGGGGATCACACATCAGCACAATTCTCTGTATCTTAAGTCTTATTTTTATGTTATCAATAACTCTTTCTTAGAAGAATACATCATCAGCATACTTTGTCACATTTTTCATGCCCTCAGAGAGAACATTGATGAAATTCAGAATTGAACTTGTCTTCCTTCTTCTCCCTTTCATTCCTCTTTCTGTATTCTTTCCTGTGTTACAATATAATTCTCCTTTTTGTGTTCTTACCAGCTAACTCTCTTGTATTTAATTTCTCTTAAGACATTTATCTCTGTCTCCTTCCCTTAACATTAAATCTTACACCTCTCTAGCTCCTTCCACCCATAGCACAAGAGTACTATGCAGTCGCTCCCATATTTAATACAGAATACCAACAAAAACCTATAAGTAGGTTTAGATCCATCTCATATAGTACCAAAAACCTTTCATTTGAAAGCAACTAGAACACATTATTTCCAGGAAACTTTGCTACCTTAAATACCAGCTTCCATTTGTATCCTAAGCATTATTTAACCTCTCAGAGAAGAGTTAAAATCAGTATTACATCTTTTTCCTTAAGTCTACCTCCAAGAAATAACCACCTCTTCCTTAAAAGCCTTCTGTCCTTCAGCTTCTGTGATCAGTCATATAATTCTTTCTCAATGACTTTTCATTCTGTGGGAAGTATAAGGGCATAGCGCACTTCTGGAATTCTAGGAGATACTACAAGAAAATTAAACAACCCCAAAAATCAGCAATGCAAATCCAAGTGCTTTCATGCTAACCTAGGTCTACTAGAACAGAGAATACTGGACTTATATATTAAAAAGAAAAAAAAAAAAGTGGAAAAAGAGAAAAGGATTTATTTACCTTTTCCATGGGTAACATCCACAGTCCATGTGCAATTCAGTGAATTTGGATATAGGTCAGGATAACCTGGAGATAAAATTGTTCCACTAGGTCCTCTAACATCTCCACCACATAAAGCTAGAAACAAAGAAAATTATAACAATAACAATAATATAAAGAATAGAAAATGTACCGATATGAGAAAATGTAAGAAAACAAACCTAAAAATTCTGCCTCTAAAATTACTTAAAAGTAGTTACTTAAATGATTTAGCAAGTTTAGATATGACTACAGGCTATTTTTATACAATAGAAAAAGAAATGCAATCTATGATTATTAATTTGTGTTTAATATGCATAAGAAAATCAAAATCAAATTTCATTAGCTGTTTTTTCAGGTTTTCTGGAGACTCTGTGAAAGTCATCAAGTTTAGCAGGGAGACGAAGGCAGATGATACAGAGCCAAACAATATCACTTAAGCAGAAGCTACGGCTGGAGAATTAAAATGGTAAATCTTGGCAAATGAAGAATTATTTACTTAAAATATTTGTGCAGGGAAGGTTGACATGGTTTTGTGAATAGAATTAGAGTTATTGGTTATGTGTTTATGATGTTGGTGCTAATGACAAATTCCAGTATAAAAATAAGCATTTCTATAGATTCATTAGCAACTTTATAAAAGTAATCAGTAATTGAGCAATACAAAAACTAAATTACATCTGGAATTAATGCAAAATATAAAAATTTAGTCATTTCAACACTGGCAAAAATGTACAGCTCAATGATTTTCTATTTCAGGGTTTTTGAAATATAACATTAATCAAAAAATCCTTAGTAAGGAAAAGTCTTGCATTTTAGAATTATCATATATCAATAACAGTTATTAAAATTCAGTACCAAGTTATTACATCATAGTTCTCTGAATATAGATTATCTCAGAAGACCATACATTATAAAACAAATGAATAGTTCTATTGTTTTTCCCTCAAGGTTAAAAGCATCTATTCCTTTCACTTTCCTTAGGCTAAATATATGCATTACCAAAATTATTTTGCGGAAATATTTTAGAATAAAACCAGTGAACTACTGTCACCAGTTTCAGGTCAAATAATTTAGGCTGTCCTAGTGAAGCTGATTGCAGCTCTCCATAAGAGTAGTCCTTCCAAAGTAACTGACACAAATTCTCCTTTTATCTTTAGGAGATGTTAAAGGTCTTCTAAGATACTTTTGGAGAGATGTAAATGGCAGCTACTTGTCTGTAAGTCCAGCTGATACAAATATCGAACCCTCTTCTTGTTCTGTAAGCAGTCACTCACCTATTCCTTTCTCAAGTCAGTGCTTCCCACCCTGCTGCCACAGCAATGAGGGTGAGGGAAGGAACCTGTCAAAGGTTGGAGGAGCGATGCCTCATTCTAGGAGATGCAGCCCCACCTGCACTGGCTGGTTTAACCTGCTCCTACCCCTCCTGTAACATCAGTAGCAACTCCTAATGCAGTGCTCAACAGTGCGACTGCTAAAGAGGGGAGAAGTTTGGCCCTTCAGTATGTGCTCAAACATCTACACACTTCAGGAGAAAGGTGTTGTGAGTAATTTGCTGCATCATGCTGTTTCTTCTGCTATGTCTTGATATTTATGCTGCTTATGGAAATTTCTGCTATACATTGATGAAGTAAATGGTGGAAGTTATACCCATTATGCCTTTGCTATTAATGTTATATTATTGAGAATGAATATAAGGACATGTCATAATTTTCTGCTTGTAGCTGTAAATTCATAAGTGATTTGAGGACACAGCGGATAGGGAATCAAGAGAATATCCAGAATATACCTTCATTCTCACCCTATACCTAAGCAGACACTTGTGTCAATGAAATATATGCATTTTCCAGACATTTCAGTAGCACTGTGGAATATTTTCATAAAGATCAATTATTTTTCATAATGAGGTTATGGCATTGCGTACCATCACTGTGTTCAGGGCACTAAGTATACATTTAAAAACACTTTTTTATGAATTAGAGATGGAATTTCATCCTAGGATGAAGACTGCCCTATCTTGCCTAGCCAAAATTTGTTTTATCGTTCTAACTATATTTCTGTTTTAAACATGCCTACTTGTCTGGATAACCTCACGATTGTTTTGTATGTGCTATTTCTCCTGCCAACTTTCTAGCCTTTGTTGGCCTAGTTGTAAAATGGAAATTTGCAAATCCACTACCACAGGCTGAAATAAGACATTCTAGGACCACATTTGCCCAATCTCTTCATTGTTGCCACAGGCAAATAACCTCCTTCCATATTAATTTTCCTCCTCACTTCGCTGATGAAGAGACAGTAAAGGCAAATACTGCCACCTTATCATCTGATCCTGCTATATTTAGACATTAGCAAAATACAGCCAGGGCTGTGACAGCATGCTGTTGGAGCTCCTGATGGTAACTATCTACTTCATCCATTAAATAAAAAAATACAGTCGGTTTTTATAATAATTGGATATAGACCAAACAAATAATGTATTTTACATGGAGTGTTTGGAAAACCTTTCAGGAATGCAAATAGTGACAAAACATCTATGGCATGCCATCAGGCCTTCAGTGTAACTCTGTGAAGGCTAGCAGATGGCAGAAAAAGGCATCAAGGGAGCAGCCTTTTGGAAAATAAAGCCAAGCTGACAAATCTGAAATAGTAGATGTGCAACTGGCCCTGATAAGATGGCTAACAGCCCAAGCATGTAATATCACTACTAGGATCTGACTGTTTTTCAGAGTGCAAAGGAAAACAGGAGCACATAAAAATAAGAACAGCAAAGGATAAACATACACATTACCAAATTCTGCCTTTCTTTCACTTTATCTGATTATAGAGAGATAGAAGCTAGGAAAGAGTAAAAGTAGAATGAGTACTTAAGGAAATAATTAAAGCACTATTTTTGATTTCAATGTAGAAAATGAACACTATTTTAACACACCAATTAAAAATTTATTTTTTTTAATGCAATCAGAGTAGTTGAATCAAGACATGCCTGCATTACTGCTTTCCAAATAGTGAGAATTAAAATAGAAAAAAAAATTAAAAAAAAAAAATACAAAAGAACAAGAATAAAAGATCAAAAACTAACGAGAAGAAAATATAAAAGTGACTGTATACAATACAGATAGGTACCTGGAAGTATACACTGTGGTGATCAGAAATTATGTAACAATTTAAAAAGCAAGTTTTGGAAGGAAGATTCTAATTTAATAATGGACTTTGGTTCAGATGTTCAGCTGAAATAAATTCTTAGAATATTGGGTTGATTTCTTTTGTTGCAACTGCATTCATTTTGTTCAGTAACATGATCAATTACAAAAAAAGTGACAGCAAGCAAGCCTAACTTAGAAAATGGTCCATTATGTATTTTGAAAAAAATTTTTGACCCAAACAATTTCAGAACTTTTAGTCAGGCTACTCGTTTCTCAGTGGGAGACATGGAGGCCATGCTTCATCCATGAAATACATGAATAATTGTAATAAAAATATTTGACTTCTGTCATTCATAGCAAAGTTCCACTTCAGACCATATTTCATGCTACTGTAAAACTGTTATAGGAAATCAATCTTGCAATACTAGAAGTAGCATTATAATTTCCAGCCTAAATTTATTCATAGTCTATTTTTACCCATTTGATCTTCTCCTAAACTGTCATTATGTTCTGTTTCCTCTTGGGGTCTCACATGGAAGGCTGGCAAGCCCTGTAAGAATCTATGATTTTGGATCAGTAATGAGACATGGTTGTTTTAATCTACTTCAATAAGATGTGTTTTCCATCTTCACAACCTCTGCATTAACGACTGCAAGTAATTAGCTGTCTTGTCACAGCAGCCATGCTACAGAAACATATTTCTAGCACACTTCACATTAGATTATGACACGTTTGTTCATATTTGTTTGTTTGTTTGTTTTTTTCCATTTTATTCTCACATGCCCTCTGTTCTGGTTTTAACACGTTTATATTTTACTGTAGAAATCAGTTTGTATATTCTCTTCCTCCACAGGGTCATCCTGTATAGACAGCTTAAAATTTATTCACAGAAAACCCTCTAAAATTTTGCTTTTTATACCATGCAGGAAAACTCAACGACCATGAATTATGTTTGCTGTCATCTGAGGTCTACAAATACGATTTACTATCTATTTAAAACTAGTTTGTTTTGATGTGACACAAGTCTGTCTCAGAGTTATAAAGAGTATAGTGAGATGAAATGTCAAGAAATCAGGATATGAGAGGAAGGGGATCCCTGAAAGAGACAGAAATATTATATTTTATGACTTAAACATTTTTATGAAGGACTTTGAAAACTACTACAAAAGCTGCAGAGAAGATCACCACACCCTGAATGGGGCTCTAAGAGGCCCCCTAATGAAGATAACACCTCAACATAGATAACATTTCAACATAGACTGTTCACTCGTTATTCACTTTAAAAAAACCCCAAGTAGTTGGAATGGAGATGGTGATATCTGTGGAATTAGCATTTTTCACATCTTCAAATGGTATCATCTATGATTTTCTTATGTAAAGAAATTTCAAGAGACTAGCCATAGATCACCAACCACAACTCAGACACTAACATAAAATGATGGATCTCAATTTTCTCAGGAAAGATAAAATATTCTTAAGAAAAAGAAAAGCTTTAGGAAAAAATCTCCAACTTTTTTCCGTAAGTCCAGTTTGTTGTAAGTACACAAAACACACAATTATAATTGATTGGTAATAACAATTAGCTTTAGATTTCAAGCATCATCGAAGACTAATAACATATGCTAGTTTAGAAAGAACTGCTGAGGAAAAAAAAAAGAAAAATCTATTTATATGGAAATATGTTTGTGTATATATAAGTCTAAATACAAATATATATGTGCACAAACACACAGAGGCCTCATTACATTCATTTGTTTAATTGACTCTAACTTCCAACTAAAAATGCAATTCTGAGATGATTTTCATTTATTGTGCAATTGGGTAATAAAAGTGGCATATAAAATAGATTTTAAAATTATTGAAACAGTGAATTAGAGTTTGAATCTTATCTACTGTGCTTCATAGACCAAGAAACTTCAGCATTTGTCTTCCCTAATTATAGAAGACATAATGTATCTTAAAATGGGATGTAGTTCTGTAGGGGTAAATAAATAAGGATATGGATATCAAATTAACATGATCATCTTCAAGTAAGAAACCTTGGATTTGAGTTATATTACACAAGAGATTAATTTAATATAAACAAGTGTACCTTAGATTACTCACAGTATAAACTTGAATTTTGGCCTTCTCATTTAAATCTAAAATAGACCAGACATGGTCTCCATTTCCAATTCTAGCCTCTACTACACTGAGTATTTGAAGCAGGTTTTTTAACAGCTGTGTTTTAATGGAATTATTATTTTTATTTTAGAGATGTCAACAGAAAGAACATAACACTTCTGTATTATTCCCTGAATACCTTCCTCATGTACTGCATATTTGCAGTCAATGTCATATTTGCTAATTCATTTGGACATCTAGTGGTTTCCAATATAAACATTAAAGGGTTTTTATCTTGCTTGAATTATTTTCATCCTATTTATTAATTTTCTTAAGTAAATGAAGATCAGGGGGAATGGCAATATTTATTTTTAATTCAAATAATGAATAAGAATTATCTATTAGCATTCAATTTCATGTTATGATGAAGGAAATAAAAAGCACTTTACACACTTAAGTAGATATCTAACTTTTACATTCATTTTCCTGTAATTTTTGATGCAATTACTACAGTAATTCATATACTGGGTAGAAAAGAGTTCCTCACATATATTCAAAGCTTAAAAGCAAAATTCTCTTATAGTATTCAAATAGGAAGGATATTATAAGATACAATTTGGTCTTCTTAGTTAAGCACTGGGTGGTGATTACTGTTGAATTCAGGATTTCCAGATACACAGGTAAAAAGTGAATCATATGCAGTTAGTAGATGGGAATGGGATAGATGCAATACAAGCAGTGTTTTCTCAGGAAGATCATAACCCTCTATTTTACTCTTTTTATGTGATGTTTATCTGTGCAATGTCAAACACATCATGAAAAATTCAGTTTACAGTCCTTCACAGAATAGAATTTCAGTCAACACCATGTTCTACTGAGGAGGAACTTGCTTTAAGGAGTCTAAAATTTTTCCTTTTGTAGTCACTTCTCCAAACCACACCCACTCATGAGTTGCCCTGACCTATCCACACAATTACCATGGTCTGTCTCTACGTCACTACACGATGTAATTATAAAAAAGGAGATGCAATTATCAAAAAGAACAATCAAAAGAGGACTTGTCTCCTCAGAAACCATCAGATTAACATTCTGAATGCACAGTAATAGTGACTGATGTGTTTATTAGTGGTATGATTAATACAAATCCATACTTATAGTTTATGCAAGCAACGGCCCATTTAGCAAATGCCTTTGCCTGGGGTGCAAGGACTCTAGATTGTTTTAAAAACATTCCACCAGAGAAGAACTTCACCAATGAAATTAAAATTGCATCAACCATAAACTGATTAAATTTAGTAGAATAAATGTACTCAAGCCTACCTTTACAACATATTTATTGAATGGACCTTTGCCAGTTAGCAATGAGCTCTGGAGAAAAAGAAACCTCATATACCTAATGAATTGCATGCTAGTTCAGCATGTTTAGGAAGAAACTGATCACAATTTATAAGTTTATTTCACAACAGAGCACAGTATTCATAGGGAGTGTGCTTATACTGTTCGTTTTACACATTAACCATCTAGTGCCCATCACCATTAGAAAACACATCTTAGTTTTGTCATCTATTCAACAAAATATATTCCCCTTGGCTACAAACTGTGGGAGCCCTGCAATTATTCACTGCAAGAACCTGAGATGAAGAATATTTTAGAAAATGGGCTTGCAGAACTACAGAGGGCCATTTTCAGCAAAGTGATTATAGACATCCCTTTCTACCATCACAGATTTTGAGTATTATCATACACTGATACCTTCAACCTCCTGAAATATAAAAAAACAAATAATTTTCTAAGTAAACAATCTGAAGTCCAAGGAGGGCCTATCATTTTCTAAAGAAAGTAATACAGTGGGAATGAATAGTCTTCCATACGGCAAATCGCACATGATTCAGTGAGCTTCTTCATCAGCCTTCACTCAAAATTTCTTTCAAAATTAGTGTCCTCACTAAGAACTGTATTAGGAAAATACAGTATCATGTACATCCTGTAGCTCATAAAAGTTCAGGAGACTTTCTCTGGTTAAATACTACCCTAGAATTAAATGGTTATAATATTCCTGAAAACATTTTTAACATCAAAAACATGTACCATGCTCCAAGGAGGGAAACTGTTTTAAGAAGTAAGCATCTCAAATAATGTTATTGAATAAGCATTTCAATCTATTTTCTTAAAGCAACATATAATTGATATGACCCCAACTGGGAAAGCATTAAAATGAACAATTCAGAATGCAAGAGATTAGACAATTTTTTAGATTTAATGATATGGTGGAGACCTGTTACTCTATCCCACTTCTGTCTTGTTTAATAATGACCACATAAAATGTGGTCCTAATAAATTTCCACAGTGATTGAAGGGTGTCAAGGTCTGCTAACAAACTAGAAACAGAGTGATCATCATGAAACAGGAATAAATGAAGTTTTTGAGTCAGATGCAAATAAACTTAATTCAATGTGTTGAATGTCAGCAATCTGTGTCCATAGATGGATATCCAAACACAAATATTTTTAAGCTGTAATAAGTGTTTTACAACGAGATATACACAAACTTTACAATCAGTTAGCTCACAGTTACATAAATTCAGATAAACATACCTTCAGTAATTTGCATTATTAAATAACTATATATCATTCTCATATTTTATGATCATATGCCTCATCACAGAGATATATGACATTTATTTCCTTTAATTATTCTTTATCTTTCCTAAAAATACAGGTTTTAAAGGCTCTGGCATTTAAGTCATTTTGACTAATAATCGTTTGGCAAAACTTGTATATTTTAAGGTACTCTGTATTAAATCTATTCATCCTTACCATCACAAGTTGGGAGTGGGTGACTCCACCAGTGATTTTTTTCACATAGTAAAGGCTCCTCATGACTCAGCCTATAACCTGGATCACAACTAAATGAGACAGTGGAACCTATAGAGAAGTCATGTCCATAACGACGTCCATGCACTGGTATGCCAGGATCCAAGCAAGAGTAAGTATTAACAGTTACACCTAGATAAAAAAAGAATAAGAAAAAAAATTTTAAAAATTGATTTTTTAAAAACTAATTTAAATAGTTGGTTGTGATGGTTGTGAGGTGAAAGCTTCATTACCACACATTTACAGTGAATTATCTTTCCACTATTCTTCTCCGTGATACCATTAAAAGATACTATGGATTACAGTTTGAACCCTGCCACTGTTGTAGAGAAAAATAAGAAAAATATCCCATAATTTACAGGATATTTAGTTTGATCCTGTCTCAGTAAGATCAGATGATGTACCTGATGCTGATACTAAAAAGCTTTGATGATAACTCAAAATTCTGATTTTCACCTTAATTTTTTCCTTATCAAAATTTGATAGCATAGCTGAATTTACTCACGTTTCTTTTGATATTTATATTTTAAATAGCTACATAGATTAATTATTTACATAAATCACACTCATACCTTGTGTTATTTGATATGAGACATTGAGAAGATAAAGATTAGCAGAAAAGAGTAAAGAGAGGTTGACTTGATAAAAGGAATTTCAATGTATGACAGAAAATTAAACCTTTTAGATTATTTCTCAGTGAGATGTTCATATACAAAGCTCATATAAAGAAGTTCATTGTAATATAATCATGAAAAAAGTCCAACCTTCTAAGAAGTTAGTAAACTGTTAGAAGTGCAAGATTTTTTTATGGGTGTTATTCCTTTTATTCCTACACAGAAAGAAAGTAATAAAAAAAAAATCCTTCCTTACAGAGTAATTCATTCTGGAGAGACACAAAGAAATTCATTGTGGAGAGATATAATTAGCATAAAAGTTAAGAACATATAAAAGATCTTTGCTTTCAATACAATATTTGAAAGGAGAAGAAATGATGAATAGGAGACCACTGATCCTTATTATTTGTATTCCCAAAAAGGAAAACAGAATTGGATTGTATTGGATAACACAAGATCAGAAACCAATAAGAATTAAAAATAAAATGAATACAAGATTTCTGTGTATAAATAGGGGCTATTAAACAGAAAAGAAAACATGGAAAATTGTTTATTTTGTGTAGTAGTGGTAAGAATACATATTTTGCATGCTCTCTGATAGCATAAATTTAGCTTTTATTCTCCACCAGTGTGGAGAACTGTGGGCTGTGGGTTAGTTTCACAAAAAATAGGATTTTATAACAAAATTCATGAATTTATTTATGGGCTTATTTCAAGTTTCCTTTCCAGCTTTATTAATTGAAACTGTATATTATTTTTAGCAGTTTCAGATTTCCTCTTTTTGCTGTTCACTTCCCAAAGTACAGTTTCTACCATTTAACATTATTCAGTCTTTCTATGAATTTAGTGTCTTGGTTGGCAATCAGTCTAGCTTTCCTGATGTGTCCAGACAGCCTTCCTTCAAACTTCAGAATGGATGAAAACTTAAAAAAGTCATCACTTGTTAATAATGCAGAAGGTGATACAAATAGAAGTTTGTGGGTGAATGATAGAACAGGTAATAATTTTGGCATATTGGTATTTTTTTTCAATAAACAAAATAACAAAATACACAAAAATCCTGAATTTAACATTCAATGAAGTTCAAATTAATCCAAATTTTATCTGGGAATATCACCTCCATGCATATTAGTTTTAGTATCCTTATAGTGGCCAGGAATAATGAAAATTGCAAAACATAATCATAAAAATTAAGAACATCATGGAAATTTTTGGTGGCAATGCCAACAAGTAGAAGTCCAAACAATGTGCCTATGACTTTTATTAAGCAAGTAAGATAGTAATTACAGTAAAAATATTATTTCTCATGTAAGTAGGAATTATTACAACAGAAGTTATATTTAGAAAGACAGAATGCAAATTGAATTATAGTATTTCAACATAGGAATTTTAATAATTCATAAGGTAAGAAATCATACAGATACTTTATGCAGCATCGTTTATATGACTATAATAAGGAGAAAATAGTACTTCTATGTCAGAAAAAAAATCTTATAGGCAGGCTTTTAGAACCATAAAAATCCAAAATCAACCAATTCCATTTCTTGATTTTCAGGTCATTATGTAAATTGCATTCCCCCTACCCTCAGTTACAGCTGAAGGTACATCAATCAGAACTAATTCAGTTCTAACTAATAACTAATTTAGTTATTTTCTTACATTTTCAAAGAATTTTTTTTTCACAATCTTCCTGATCTCATGCTGTTTTACAGCAACAAAAATGCATTGTATATAATATAAGAATATTAAGACATAAAAGTAGCCTCCATAAGAAAGGCATTTTCTTCTCGTTCTTAACTTTTGATTCTTAAAGCACAGAGCAGTACATCAATGACATTTAATATATGCAAAATTAGTGGTCATCCCTTTTGCAGTTTAACACTACTAAATCTTTCTCAGATTAGAATGTAACAGGAATTTACCCAAGATGACATCTGTACATGACTAGGGTAAGCATTGAGGGTGAGGGGAAATCAAATAATACAACGCAGAAGTACTTACTTTCATAGTGAATTTTGAATCCATTGTTAGAACGACTGTTATCAGTTGTAAAGAGAAGATACATGAAATTGCTACTGCTAAACAGAAACTGTGGGACCTGTGTGCCATTGTAAGAACCCAGAAGTGGAGATAATAGGTTTGGTCCATCATGAACTTCCAAAACATCATAATTAAGTTCAGTCTGAAATCTGGAATTGTGGAAACACACAGAGGCACAAGTTTTAGAGACAGTTAAAACAAATTCAATAAATCCATATGTTTAAACTATGCTATTTTCTTATTTCCAGATAATAGTTTCTCTCTGAATATCTATTTTTCAATATCAATGCAATAATATTAATTATCCAACATAATTCTTAAAATTATAAAATTTCAGGTTAGTTCTTTAGAAAGATGAGAAATAAATTTAAACTCTTTGAACTGCTTTGTACGGCTGGAAATAAATTTAAACGCCTTGAGCTGGTTTGTATGGCAGGAAACAAAAGCTAGAAACAGTTTGTTAATAAAGATTAATATTACTTGCATATGCTATTTTATAACAATATTATTTTTTCTGGTTTAAATAACTAACTAAATTATATAGAGGGTATGTTGATGCATTTGGCAAAAATATCATCAAAGTATTTTGTATCATCAAAGGCTCTTACTCTTGAGTTCCTATCTTACAGTCATCTATAAGCAGGGATAGAATTACTTTACTCCAGTGGCTTTCTGCCAGCTGAGACTCAGTCCAAATTAGTGACAGAAGTTATTTGGAAAAAAACCCACAACTAAAAATCCTTTTTAGAAAGCACTAGAAAACAAAATGTCTGTTTAAATATAGCATGTGTGCTCCCCCTGGCAAGGAAAAACTGAGTGTTAAAGTGCTTCTAGATATCTCCTTGCTTGTTTTTGATGGTATCAGAATAAAACACCTGTTTGGTATTTTGACAGTGGTTTATCTCTTCCTTGCTATGACAGACTTTAGATCAATCATACTGCTTTATAATGGACTCTGATGGATTACTGAAAAACCTTTTCAGAATTAAAAAGCAACAATTCACAGCAGGATCTTACAAGGACCCTTAGATAGTCCTAATTCTCACGCTGATTTACTTAAGACACCTAATTCAGCTTTGTGAAATCCATTCAAAGAAATGAGTGAGTAAAGCCAATCCACTGAGGAACTTGGTATTTCAGTATTTATGTCCCACAAGTCTGAGCCTAAAGATATAAAGGAGTTTGGCAAAAGACAAGAAGACAAACCCACAAAATATGTGTTTCCTTTAATGATGTTCTGCTCCCACTAAATAATGCAAGAGGACAAAACTAAAGTAATGGGGAGTTACAGAAATGAAGTAGGATAATCCTAGAAGCAGGAAAATGAAAATTTTGGGTTTCTTGGAGTTCCCACAGTATCTCACAGTGACATGCTTCTAAAAAGCTACTAGGCAGTAACATACAACATAGGAGAAATCTTGGAAACAGATAATTTAGTCCTGCTCAGCTTTCTTAGCACCTATATCAAAAGCATACTTGAGACATAAAGTGTAAAAGTCACAGATCTTATAAATGTAATGCAACTACCAGGCCACTCAAGTCAAGTTGAAACTAAGTTGAATCTCCAAAGACATGAAGGAAATCCTCTCCAAAACCACTTAGACTATATGTACCACCACAAACAGCAGAAAAATATGAAGATGAAAAAAATGAATAATCACCCATGAAAGAAAATGTGAGAATCATTTTTAAGTGAGATGAACTGAAACAAAGAGGGGATTATTTTCAATGCTTTTGCTTGGTCATTTGGCTCAAAAAATGGTAAATTTATATTTAATTTATAAATCTCATGCTAACATCAGTTTTTCCTTTAATTTCTTTTCTCTTGATGCTCAACATATCTGCTATATTAACATACTTTCTCCCCTCTGGTGTGACAAAACTGTAGGGGTTTTTAGCAAAATGAATTAGAAATGGCCTGTGCTCACCTAAGACCCTTTCAATGTTCCTTTTTACCTAATTGATCAGTACTGTTAAATTAACCTGGATGTCTTCATTGCTAAGTGACATCTAATCTTACGGAGGACTCACAAGCAGACAGGAGTGAAACAAGTTTTAACACAGGAGATGCCACATACACTTTTTTTAGCAGGCCTTATTTGAATAGATAAAGGTGCCTGAATATTTATAACACACATCTTGGCTTCTGAGAGATACCCTTATCAACTCAGTGCAGTGTCAGGATTTCCTGCTGCACAGTATATGCTCAACAGACACACGTGACTAGTACTCCAATCAGTAGTTTGCTATCAGCATCTCTCACATTTAAATACTCATAATTAGGCTTCATGATAAACACTTCATTACAATCAAGAGTGGCACTGCCATTTCTCACTTCTCATTTCAATTGAGCCTAAAAAGATACTGATTTATAATAAAATATCAACAGATTATCTATCTTCATTATGCTTGTAGAACAGGAACAAACTTTTTAAAAAATACATGCACGATAATATAACTATATATGAAGATATTTTTGCATGCTGACAGCACTAAAGTTAATAGTAATTTTTATTTGCTTTGTGTGTAGATCTTCTTTTCTCATGTCTCTGTCTCCTTGGCACAAGAACACTTCAGCATGCAGTCATGGAATGCAGTACCTTGCTCCTATCCAATGTTGTAAGAGAGAAGATACAGGCATATAGGAAGATTAAAAGGAAACTACTCTACAAGTGGGAAACTTAGAAAATCCAAAAATTATTTAAAAATTATAGACAAGTACTATAATATTTTTTCCCTGTCCAAGAAATTCAAAATCTTTCAACAACCACATGTGTGGAAGTTTTGGTATTTGCACCAAAAAAGGCTTGAAAAGTATGTGTGCTTCTCAGGACAAAGCTGAAAGGCAAAGAACTGGGCAAAATATGAAGGTTTTTTTAATTATTTAGGAAAGTAATTTGGCTATAGTTTTAAAACTGTGTATTTCAAAAAAATTATCCTTTTCTCTTAAGAAAGTGCAGCTGAAAACTTGCAAGCAGGAGCAGCAGAAAAAGGGCAGCCAAGACTAAATGAGTCTTTAAAAAGCTAATGCATAAATGACTCAGAAGGTGAATTTAAACCATGTGAAAAATAATAAAGTCTAAGTAAAATCATAACAGTAGTTTACAAAATGTTTTCTTTCATTACACCATAAAGTTTTATTTCATCATTTTATTTATAGAATAACATTTTCTTTTCATCCAGACATACAACTATATATATCTAAGTGCATCTGTGTAACACACAGAGCTGTATTTTTAAGCGTACTTCTGCACAGAAATACACAAGAGTACACATTTATCTGCGAGTAGGGCCTCTCTGGATTGCTGCATCTGAGCAATATGCGTACCAGACCAATTTCTGACAAGTGACAAGAGTGTCAAAAATGAGCAGCAATGGGAAAACAAAGTGACAGAAAGAGGATAGAAGCTTTCTCTGTGATCTAAAGAGACCACATCTTGTTCCTTTCCATATTACTTAGAAGAGTAATAGAGGTTGTGCAATTTTATGACAAGGCATTAATGTATTACAAACAAAAACTGTATGCAAAAGAGTGTCAGATTTAGTAAAACTCAACTTCAAAGAAAGAAAATACAGCTGTCATTGTATTGCAAATATAAAGGCAATGAATTTGAAATGACTGTCCATATGAAATACGTAGTTTAAATGACTTGCTGAATTAAAAATCAACTATTTGAAATTACAATTTTCATTTCAAAAAAATAAAAGAACTTTCATCAGGAAGTTATTAATTTTTTAATTATATTCTAATTGTAAAATTTGGTAAATCATTATTTTAAGTGATATGCTAGTGATTTTGGAAGACTAGCTTTCATGTGATGTTAAAGATAGAAAATAACTGAAGTGTACATATTATCTGTCCTGTGATTGTTTATATTATCCCACGAACACTTAATTATAGGGTAAGCTATTGTACTAAAAAAATGGTTTTAAAAATCTTATCACGATGACAAATTTTGCAGAGAGAATATGAATTTCAACCCTTGCTAAAAAAACTTTCTGAATAGTATTAAAATGAAGAAATACCTTTTTTTAAGTCAAGTGTGAGCAGGCCTAGTTAAAACATGCTGCATAAATACCAACTTAAAAGTACTTGGATGATCACTATAATTTTCAGCATCAATAAAAATGTCACTTTTTCCAGGATTGTAATCTATTTTTTTTAATATTTAAAATTAAAAATACTCTAAAACATAAGAGGAGTAGCATTCTTTATTGCATTTTTTGTCTTGTTTTCTGATGAAGAGTTCAAATTAAATGCCACATATTGCTACCATAAGAAATGTCAGGTGCTTCAGCACATTTCAATCCTTTGAATAAGAAAGGGACTTTAGTAAGACATCAGTCTAGGAAGAGTGGAGTGCTGCAGTAATGTGGGGACACTGGAACTCCATCCTGAGAGCACACAGTCCTTTCACAACAATAGCTCAGCTGACATGATAATTAAATAGTCAGAGTGGGGAAATTATGACTGCATTTAATTTAGTTTTCACAGCTGATTCATATTTTCAGGGTTGAAGATTACGTGATTTTGGGAGAAAAAAAATAACTTAGCAATTATAATTCATCATACACTGAAGATATCTGTGCTCTGAAGGAGCTTACAAAAGTTCTACGTGATAAAACAATTGCTGGATTTTATAGATAATGCAAATTAATGTTAAGATAAAGCCAATAACTCCTGCTTCTTAATAGAAACTGGAAAACATTAAATAAGAAAAACATTAGCCAAGACCTTTCGAATGTAATTTTGATAGAGTGTCCAGGTTCAGCTTCTATCACCCACTCACAATTCAAGGAATCTTTATAATACCCTGGCCAGCCTGGAGAGAGGATTACTCCACTTGGAGATGAAAAATGCCCACCACATGGAGCTAAAAATGAAACAAAGAGAAAGGTAAATAATACAGATTTATTAGATGCAATTCATATTTATCACTTCCAATATAGAAGAATTAGGATGAACAAATATTTAAAATCCAGTTGCAGGAAGATGCAATCACTTCAAATCTGACAGGCTCTGTGGTGTTCAGAGTTAGATGGAGATAACTGAGTTAAGACCTTAAAAAGATGAAATAAACTGTTCAATAATTCTGAAAAAAGGCTTTTTTTTCCTAATGTATTCTTATGTGTATAATACATTTTCTGCGTTAAAAAACATAAACAAAACATAATCTTTACAAACTCTCCTCACTTTTGCTTTTAATTGTGGGCAGAGAGACTTGAACTTGCTAAAGTTTCAGCTGAGTTTAAAGCTAGAAATCAGTGAACTGTTACCATTGAATCCACTGTCATACCACATACATCTTGCTTGGCATGTTGGCAATTCAAATTCCTCATTCATGAAAAAGACATACTTACCATTCTTACAAGATTAGTTGATTTTTTTTTAATTGGAAAATATATATAATTATTGCAATATATACTTCTGCAAGCAGTACTCCTGTAGAGGGGGAAGATACCTGCCTCAGCCTGCTCAACAGCGTCCCAGGATACCACTGACCTTCTTTGCATCAAGGACACGTTTAACTTGGTGTCCACCAGGACACCCAGGACCTTTTTCATTTAGACAGAGAGCAGAAGCATGTTACTTTGCAGGAAGAGAAGACTGCACCATAGAGTTTCATAACACCATGGTTCCAATCACCTTTAAGCATACAAGGCTACTCCAAAATAAAAAAGCTATGTCACAGTTAGTGTCACAGTAGCAGAGCCTGCAAAATATTTTGGTTGCACTAGCAGAGCCTGCAAAATATTTTGGTTGCTCATTTTGACAAAGTAGAACAGTAATTATCATTGTCTATACTATTCCGAACTCTATTACAACAACAATAGATTAATTTTGCTGTCTTTGACACAACTTCAAGTTGAAGACCATGAATTATTACATATTTGTCTGATCTTAATTTTTCTCAGGAGAACACCAATGTCTTATATGATGAATTGCTGTAAATAGGTTTGTTTCGTTGGGGTTTCTTTAGGACATAATGTCCCATCTTTCCCTACTGTGTAGGGAAAAGAAAGGGTTTCTAGAAGTTATAGATTTCAGAATTCAGTATGTTGCAACCACTTCTATATATGCAGATATATACTTCTTTTTTTATTCATTGATGGGTTTAAAGTGGGCATTTCTCACCTTTTATCTTAAAGTCTCTTTCATACTGCCTTCAGTAAACAGTACCAGTCAAACAATAAGTTATTTAAACTCATATTTACCTCAACAACCAGAAGGTTAACTCTAGACCATTCACAATCTCTGTATTTTATTGTATATAACCACTTTCAAATATTCATAATACATATGGAGCATATAAACTACAAAATATATTGACAAGAATAGGAACCACATGGTCTTATTCTGAGCCTTTATACTCTATAGTTACAATACAGTATTACCAAACTTGGATGAAGTTGCATCTTCTCACCAAATTTTCATGGCACAGATTGAATTTAGAATACAAAAAGCTCCAAACCTCTATTACAAAAATATTCCTATGAATAGTGCATTAAAAGTAATGCACACTGTAAGATTGCCTAAATTTGGAATAATTTCTGAATTTTATTTAGGATTGTTTTGCTGCCAGTTTTCCTTAAAGGAAATGTTTATTTTTTGTCCTCTGATTATGGTTTGTACAGATAAATATTTAATGGATTTTTTTTTTGTTTGACTTTCACCATTACATGGTGATTTCCTAAACCCAGGAGTACTTCCCTTCAGAATAGCTGAGCTTCTGGGCTTATCTTAAAGAGCCTTGTTTTTACAAAATAAAACTCTCCAGTAATCATGCCAAAGGATTGTTTCCCTAACCCTTTTTACACTGATTTTAATCCCTTCTTCTTTTTTATAGTCCTATTTGATAGATGTCTGACAGATTCATACCCAATGTTCATATGTTCAAAATGAAACTCTAGAAATATAACACAACTAAAAGTGCTCATCAAGCAGAATCCCTTTATCAAACACAGGTCTGTGTCAAATAGTAAAAGAAAATCTCACTCTGATCTAAGAATTCTCACAAAGTCATTTGTATTTATTTCTTTGTATAGCAAAGTGCAGGCCTTCAAACAGGATTTTTCTGTATGTGAGCATGAAAAAAGCCTTTAGGATAACAGGCTATTCACAGAATCACTAAACATCTTGTAGATTCATAGTTTTAGGAATGTTTTTTTGAAGAGCTTATCACTAATGCTACAGAATGGCAAGATAGTGAACCCTACAGGAGTTATGCAGGAAGACCAAGGTTAGAGCTTCAGCATGGCTACAACAGCACAGTATTGGAACAGTTTATGGGAAAATCCCCTGTATAACCCTCACATAGGAAAGATGAATGGCATAAGGACAGGAATCCCAAACTCAGAATCATCAGGGAGCAGCAAAAACTCCTTCACTAAAGAAAAGAAGCCAGGAGCAAGCAATGATCACTTATGCACATGTACATAGCCACATTGAGTTAGGGTCTTCACAGACATATCCATCTCCACCTGAGAAAGCTGAACACGACTGGATTGGTTACAGGAAAGGGGTTTGGTGACAAGAAGGCAGTTACATAGTAGAAAAGTAAGAATTAATTTTTAACTTCAGATCATATTATCATTGATTAAACTTTTTTTATTCATTACAAACAGCTGAATTAATTTTTTTCCCTTAGGTATGAAGATCCTAGAATACAGACAAGTAATGAAGCAAAGATTATACTTTAGTGTAATTAGTATAACAAGTCCAAGGAAATATGCATAACACTATGGTTTTAGATTGTGATGTATGGAAGGACTTAATTTCTATAAAACAGAAAAATCAATTGCTAAGAGAGGCTTCCTCAGCCTAGAGTCACTGTGGATAGAAGAAACACAAATATTGCAACAGAGAGCTAAAACACCTTAAACAGTTTTAAATACCATATCCAAAGACCCTGAAGAGATCAACATCTTCATTCTAATCTAATACTGTATCAGCAATAACAGAAGCTTTGTGCTATGCATTTGCAAAAAATCTCAGCTTCATTTGGTGACAATTTGAAATGCATTACATCAAGTTCTCCTGATTTAGGAAGAAATATTATACATACCTCCACACTTAGGAATTGGTCCACTCCACATTACTTTTCCATCCATTAGCATACATGTAATCGTTTCAGTTCCTTGTGTTTTAATAAAACCTTCTTCACATATAACTGAAATTGAGCTCCCCAGCTGAAAGTTGTCACCAAAACGCCGAGCATTGATTGGCACTCCAGGGTCTGGGCACTCATTATGTCCAAATGCTTTTTAAGAGGAAAAAAGAAACGTGGTAGAGGACATAGAACTCTTGCAAGGAAGATAACATTTTTAGAATTTTGTTCGCTAGTAAGAACAAACAATTTATATTAGGAAACTGAAGGGAAAAATAAGAATAATAAAATAAGAAACAAAAATTTGTTCAACAGCAGCAAAGGCAAAACAGTATAAATAATTGCTTAAAATATGGAGTTATACTATCATGGATCTCAGCTTGGACAGCTTGTTGCTGGAAGATTTCAGTGATGGCTAAATTCTCTTTTTCCAACAACACTCATCCTACCTAATGTTAAAATGGGACAGAATGTTCCTTCAGAAGGGCAGGGCAAGCATCTATGTATGATACAAAAACTTTATTATCTTTTGTATATGTAATTCACCATCACACCATTTGAGCCACACTGACCTTCATGGGCTTGACCCTACCATAGTTAATTTTGTTTCATGTATTGAGAGCTGGTGAAGAGTGACAAAAAGGGTTATGTTGGCCAAAGAAAGAAAACTTGAAACTTTGAACATTTCAAGTTTAGATCTGGATAAACTGAAAAAATGTAATTTCCCTGTATACGTGTAGATACTATGAAAGACTGCTCATGTCCTTTACTGCAGAATATCCCTTATTTTTGGAGAAGAAAAACCACCTTCCTAACAGAAATGAGCAAAGTAATATTTATAGCATAATCATTAAATGATATTTAGTAGTTATTGTATTTTGTTGCTTTATTGATGATAATGCTGCACGTACATCTTATATTTTTTTAAATGTTGATTTTTAAGTGAGAAGAAATGTTCACCTTCCTCACACATGATGACTACAAATTCTATCTTCATAAATATGTTTACATGTGGAGACATCAGAAAGGTCTAAGTCCTACAAAGATGATTTTTACTTTTCTTCCTTGCAGTTTTACTGATGTGTCTGCTACATAAAACATATAGAAATTCCCTAATGATTTTTTTAGAAGTAATATCTCAATAACTTAGTGAAAGATTTCTCAGATGTTCCATTACAGAGGTATTTTAAATCATAATAACAGAACAGAGAAAGCATTTATTTAGCGATATTTTGACTTGGACAATGCCATATATTTTGGGAATGAAAATAGTGCTTTCATTGAATAATTGTTTACATTGTTTTGTTAAATACCATTCAAGGATGACATTAAAAGTGATGCAATCCCATACTTTTTCAGAGGAGTTACAAAAACTTTTCTAATTCCTTGCTCACAGTCATCACTTTTAGGGAAGGCATTGATTGTCTGCTTTTTCTCACTACTTTCAGACAACCGAGAGATAGATTTTCAATATTATTATCTATAAATGTAGATAAATGTTGACTCCAGTGTGACACCAGTTTATTAAGGTTGAAAAATCAATTCATTGCTCTATATTTCAGCTCAGGAAGTGCTGCCATTGCTGCTCCTAAGTGATCAATTTTACTGCATAGAATGACTTTGGGAGGCAAGATAGTGGAAGACAATCTGTCCCACCAACAGCAGTCACTTTTAGCTGAGCCTGGCTACAGTTACATTACTTGATAAGAAAAATTCCATCTGCTGATAGCTCTAAAAAGCTTCTTGGAGAAGCTGTAATATTAAATACTAGCCTTAGGCTGAAAAGAAAAAGAACACATGGGTATATCATTAATTAATATTTTGCTGATCATCAACAAGTCGAGAAACCATGGAAAAGTTCCTTATGAACTATTACATGTAAAGAGGAGATCCAGCTTTCCTGGCATTTATCCTCAACTACCATGACTATACAGGTAGATTAAGCAAAATCTGGAAAAATACCAGGAAATATAATCACAGATCAGGGCAATGCTGATAATCTGCTATTAACTCAGAAGGATATTAAAATACACATTTTGCATTAAAACAACAAACAAACAAACAAACAAACAAAAACAACAGAAGGGAAGGAACTGTAGAGATATCATGAGATAGGAAGGCAGGTATGTAGCGAATCCCAACTCATTTCATCTAAAACCAGCTTTGATAGGTCTTTTAATGTAGGGCTAGATAGGAGCAGTCCACTGGCACAGTTAATTGTTTTGGTGGATTGCCCTACCAGGAGTTTCAGTGGTTAAGTATAGCAATAGTTTTAAGTAAAGGTAGCACTTTCAGAAGAAAATATCAGAGAAAAAACAAAAGTTAAGGGAATATAAAATAACAATAATATATTTCATACTAAACACTAATGTGAAAGACTATTTAAAGCTTTGTAAACAAGAAACAGCTTATTCGGTACCATCACATGTAAACTCATACTTCTTTCTAGTACACTACATTTTCAAGAATTCTAGCTTGAGAAGTACTGAGACTGAAAAAGTCTTAACTGGGGTGGATTTCCTTAACTGGCAGGAAAAATGTGCTGTGATGAACATATTCTAACACAGAACACCCTCTATATCATTCATTTTCAAGTCAGATATTTCTATGATCTAGTCCAAAACCTTTAAATAGGAAATCTTTGTTGGACTTAGTGTAATAACTCAAAGATGACACATTTGAAATCTAATTTTTGCTTAATTCCAGAAAAAGTTAGATTTATGTTCAATTTTACTGGAAAGAGAGTGATTATCTGGGACCACACATGTTTTTGTAATAAAAATAAATATGGCATAAAAATAGTTTCTGAGAAATACCATTAAATAATCAGATTATGTAATAGTAACTCAGTTTTATTCTTCTCCATTCTACATCTCAACTAGCCTAAATTCTTATTAGAAAAGATTGATCAAGACATACTGTTTCTACTCTTGGAAGGGGCAAGAAGAGACTGATAGCTTTGGAATATATCAACTGGAGTGTTAGCAGAAAACAGATATTTTTAATTAACTTTGGGTTTACAAATGCTAAGACAGAGTGAAATTCTATTCACTCCTTTTTTATCATTGCTTTTGGCCTTTATTTAATATAGAAAGATTACTTCTGTAATGTATCAGATTGCAGCTGTCTTTACTGAAGAAATAGTAGAGACATTATTTGGAGTTTGCTGTTGTTTTTGTAAGTAGATTTTAGCTACAGAGTTTAACAAACACATGCACAAACACACCCATGAAAAGAAATAAAAATATAAATGCATTAAAATGCTCAAATATGTAAAATGCTTTAAATTCTTTTCAGAGTTAGCTGGTTTCATTATACAATGGGTAAATGTTAATATTGTATTGTTGCTTCTTTTTAAAATTCTATCACTTGATACTACCGGTGCATAATTTAAATTACACGATCAAACTACTACATGCCCAAAGAAGTATGCAAATTTTTTTTAAGAAAAAGTTATCTGATAAGTATATTTCTGTGTCACTGAAATGTGAAATCTGAAGTATTGACAGTGTTTGATGAATTAGTTCATTTCAAAATATGAACCAAATATAAGGAGCATTCCATGCTATTCTTATCCATTTTTCATTTTTACTATAAATTCTACATTACCTGACCTATCTTTTGTTCTAACTGTGTAAAATGGGATGACTTGAGAAAATCCAATTATACACAGCCCTAATTTTTATCCTAGACACCTTAGATGTTCCAATAGCTGATTTTGGTTTTCTCATCACTAGATTTAGGTTTGACAACTTTGAGCACACCACAATGAAACTTAAAAGTAAAGAGAACTGTTATAAATGTTAAAAGGACATGAGACAAAAGAAAATAGAAAGCAAATGTTAAAAATTCTGTAAAGAAACATGGATTCAATATCTCATTTTCATTAAAACTGATTTCATATTTCAGTAGCTCTGAATAACCCCTGACTTTCCAATATTTAGTTATGGTAGATATGTAGCTACCAGTCAAAGCTTAGTTTGCAATGGCAACTGGTACCTATAAAAACATGTCAGCATATTCTTCATGCTTACATTCTACATTTGTGACAAATGATCTGAGAATGAATCTGAGGACTGAGAGCTGAAATATAAGACAATATCAGGAAAATTATGTTTACAGAGTAATCTGGTGTCAGTTTATCTCTTTCCTATTCAGACAGCAATGTTTAATGTAGATCTTAATAAATAATTCTCTGAAATACTAGCAACCTAAATGAAAAAACAATAAAAAGGGAAAAAATAAAGATGGAGAGATGAAAGATGATGTGAGAAAAGTAAATAGCCAGAGGAGAATTCAGTCCTTAAAATTTTATGAAAATAATATTAACTGTTAACATTTGTTTGAGAAAAATGTGTACTCTGGGTCTCTCAATTACCAGCCTCACTAAATCTCTAATTTCCATTTTGATTTAAGGGTTAGTTTAGGTATTCACTAAGTATTTCCCAGCACTAGCTGGGAATATATTCTGTCTGGATTTTAGTGTGCAAAAAATACCAAATCACTTGGTACCAACACAAGGTAGGCAGCTCTTCATATGTGTTTCAAAAGAAATGTAACAGTTTTGGCAGCTAAAAGGTGAAAAAATGCTAATGGTATTTAGTACTGGAGAAGATATTTGACATCACCTTCAATTATTATTATGTGGTCAGTAAGTAGGGAAGGTAAAACAGCAAAAAACAAAAAAAAGACAAGTCTGTTGTGGTTTGACTGATCAAAGAGCTCCTATGGCTGCTCACTTAACTGCAGTGACTAGGAGCTAGCAAAGGTTGCAGCCATCAGCTCCAGGATATTACAAATGTTCACAGCTGAACATATGAGTTTCCAAGAATAACAATTTTGTACAGGCAATGGTGGTGGTTAATATTATGTGGAACAAATTGCGTTGTCAGAAAATTTAGTAGTCCTATTATACAATTTTGAACTGGCCTAATTTGTCAGTCTTCCAAACATCCTATCACAATGATTTCTAAAGCCATAAATGAGAACAAGACATGTATTTTCAGCCTTAGCACAGTATTTGAGCAATGACCCAAACACCTATATTAAGAATTTTTAGGTATATAGGATTTAGTTGAAGGTGTATGACCATAGCATCATTTTTAAATGCATATGCCTATCTCCTAGACTGTATGTTGAAAACAAAACCACACACACACACACAAAAAACACAATTACTCACTGTTATATGTGATGTTAAATCCACGTCCTGACATTGAATGGTCAGCTTGAAATTCCAGACGCAAAATATGACCATTACTGGTAAGATGGGAAGGAACTTCAGCACCAGTAAATGTTCCAATTATGGGGGAATCTACAGAGTTGCCATCTTTAACTGCAAGGAAGTCAAACTGTGATTCCAAGTCAAAGTCATTAAAGGAGAGATGAATTCGGCTTCCAGGGTCTGAAATTATTGTCCAGATACAGTTTAAATTATTCCCATATCCCTCTGGATAATCGGGTGAAAGAACTGTTCCCATTGGTGCAGTGAAATTAGAAAGACAGGGAACTGCCAAAAAAGGGAGAGATAAATTAGATAACAAAATAAAACACTTCAATAAGGACTGTTTTAGTGCTAAGTTTTTTGCAAGAAGTCTTAAAACTTGCTGAGTACCTCAACTGACTAATTCAGTGTTTGTGGTGATATATGAATATGGAAAGAAGGTTGTTTTTTCAATTTTCTTATTCCCTTCCTTTCAATAAAACTTTCCCTTCCTTTCAATAAAACTACCTTCCAAGCACAGCCCACAAGAAATAAAGAACATATTCGTTGCATTGGAAATCCATGACAGTCCTTACAATTTACCCCTGATAACAATCACTTGGCACCACTTATTTTTTCTTGTAGAGAATTGTTTAGATGAGCAGACCTCCCACTGAGCACATTAAAGGAGCAGAAATTCAATAGTGCCCTTATCATTTGTTTTTCACACAGAGGCACAAGAAATTAAGAAGCCTCAAAGAGACAGAAGATGTTTTGTTGTTATCAAGATAATATATTATATTCAATAAATTCAGTTAAGCCATATTAAGTTGAGATGCAGAGAAGCAACTGATTGCACTCTTTGATCCATATTATTTTTAGTGGAAAAGTTAAGAAAGGTTCTGCCACAAATAAGTATCACACCTACGCTATATAATCCAACATGCTATATAATGCAAATATTTTACTTATGCTATATAATGCAACTGGAAGACAGCTATAAATATTTATGAAAATTTAAGTGCTAATAGGTATTTATATAAAATACATAGGGGAAATGTAAATAATTTAAACTCTTGATTTCAATTCAGCGACTTCTAGTCTGAGGAAATATATTAATTCATAGGACTAGCTATCAAAATTGTATCATACATAATTTACACTACAAAATCAGAATCCTGGCCAAAAAGAGCCAATAATAAACCCGTATATCAAAGCACATAAAGAGAATTGCTTTAAGAGTTGATATAGGAGAAAACAAAAAAAAAGTTTTAGCAGTTTTAGAACCTGTCCCTTGGGCACGTACATTAGGCAAACCTGCCAAAAAAAAAAGTAAATTTATCCTCTCAAGAGAGTTCATTACATTTTATTAACTCTGAAATCAATCACACAAATAATTACCTATAAGTAATGCTTATCACAATGCCTTAAAAATAATAAGAAGAAAATATTTGGTACATACAAATACAGATTGGTATGTTTGCAGACCACTGGTTGTTTTCTTGGCAAATGATAGATTTCTCTCCAATTAATTCAAATCCAAACTGACACTCAAACCTTAAAACATCACGATTAGAAAATCCGTCCCCTTCTCTAATACCATACAATGGTGTTCCAGGATCCCCACAGCTTTCTTTTTCAATTTCTGTTGAAATAAATAAGGAATTTATTAATAGAAGAATGAAACAAATTTGCTGCATGTATATGCCAACATGTAGAAAATTCTAGGAAAATTAAAATTAGCTATGTAAGAATAGTTGTCAAAATGCACACTGAGTCTGATTCTATACCCCAGCTTCTTAGGGAGGAAATTCTTCACCAAGGGGAGTGAGTGACTGGCTGTGTTGAGCTTAGCTGTTGGCTGCAGTTAAACCACTACAAGGAATTAGAAAAATCAAAACTCTTTGTGTTTATAAAATACTTGAAAATTAAAGGATATGAGAAAAGTATTTCTACCCTATTTTATTTCATAAAATCTTAAGCAATAATATCATTAAGTAAAATACTGCTAGTAGAACATGAGCTCTTAAAAGTAGAAACAGAGATCAGCTTCCCAATGTGTAAACACTGTCCATACTGCAATGCAGTTCAAACTGAGGTACCACTGACATGGCATATAAGGGAGTGGTGGCAACAAAAGAATTGCCTACAGTAAAAAGGAGGCTAGACATAAATATTTATACAAATTTATACACACATACATACATGTAAATGTATGGAAAAATAATTTCGCTATAGTCAAATAACATTTTACCTCAGTAGTCTTAACTACAAGGAATGTGAATGAGCTATTTATACAAATACCAGAGATATGATATTCTCTCAAGCTGCATCCTGCATCTGTTTTCAGAATTTTAGGCATGGAAGAATCTTCTCAAAATTTACAGAAATGCACTGGAGTTAGGTTTGGAGAGGTAACTTGTCTATATTTCAAACTTAAATATTAAGGAGAAAAGGCACAGAAAAAGCGGAAATCAGGAAAATAAAAACTAATCCTTTATGAATCAAGAACATATATATTTCCCAGTGTAAACCAGGATGATAAATGATGTAAATTACACCATGTGTCCTCATGACATGTCTCGATGAGCCCTGTGGGGCTTTAAATAATAGCCACACCTCCAGTAAAATAAATTACTATATTAATTTAGGTTTAGAAAATGAACTGTTATGTAAAACTCTATCCACACAATTTAATTGCACCATGAGACTTCTCATTCATATAAAAAAGTAATAAAAACTGGGGTATTTCCTAAATTTCTGTTGAAATATTGCTAAATCACTGTATCTTGTTAATTCCAGATTTGCTTGCAAAAACAGCTGGTATTTTGTCACTTAAAAAAATTCAATTAAAGTTGTGAGAATTAGCAACAAAGTTTGTATTTCATCTACGCTACCTCAAGAGATTTTTGATGCCTTCATAACTATACTGTCCCAAACCCTGTTCGTATGGTCTTCCTCCTTCAGTCATATTGAAGTACTTGCTTTGTTTCAGTATAAACATAAATGGTAAATCAAGTCCAATCCCAAGACTGCTGAAGCTATCATCAAGAATGTATCTCTTGATGCACACAGAGTTGGTCTGTGACAACAGTGAATCTATTTGAAGCAAGTATATTATCTGTAGAACCTTTCAAATGTGTTGATCAAGGCAACCTGTACCAGCTCTGCAATTATTCTTTAAGGACAGTCAATAAATTTGTCCTCTGATACTTTTAATAATGGTTCCCTGTATCATATTCTGAATATACATGTGACTACAGAACACCACTAAGGTTTTAATTTGGTAATAACTTTATTGTCACTTAACCTTTTTCAGTTTTTGCTGAGCTAAACATCTGGTAGGGATGTAAGACTGTTAGTTCCACCTTGTTTTTGCCTTTTTCAGAAGGTCATAGAAGAAAGCAAAAAGGAAAGTCTCTGGAGAAACAGTCACCAAGACTTATTTATGTGGCTTGTTTTCTTTCCCAGGCTTCTGGTCCCATGATCCTTCAGCCTGCTTCTTTCTAGTTTGATCAGTTATTCCCTTCTGAGACAAGGCAACTATATCTTTCTGAAAGTAAGCTATAACAGAATAAAACCAAACACAAAAAAAACCCCAGTCCCAAAACACAGAACAAATACTGTTCTCTGTCAAACACGCACACACACAAAACAGTTCCCAGATCAACTCTATGAACACAAAGCAGGGTTTGCTTCAAAAGTCATTCAATGCATTTGAACTGGGCTTAGACAACAAGGTTTTTGTAGTCAGGGGTCTGCAGAAGTGACCTCTGTGAGAAGATGCTGTTGCCATGTTGGACAGAGCCAGCTCCAAGAAGGATCTACTTCTGGTCAAGGTTGAATCCATAGGAAACAATGGTGGTGCCCTTGTGATAATATATTTAAGAAAGAATAAAAAAATGCTGCAAAGCAACTGTGACAGAAGATCAATAAAAATATGTGAGAAACAGCCCTGCAAACATGAAGGTCAGAGAAGGAAGGTTAAGAGATGCTCCAGGAGTCAGAGCAGACATTCCCCTGCAGCCCATGGTGAAGGCCACAGGGAAGCAGGCTGGGTGGCTGCAGCACATGGAGGTCTCTGCTGTAGCCTGTGGATGACCCCACGTTGCAGCAAGCGGATAAGTCTTGAATCTGCAACTGGTGGAGCAGTCCACTCCTGAAGGACCACCCCCCATGGAAAGGACACATGCTAAAGCAGCTCTGAAAGAACTACAGACTCCACACTGAATCAGGGGAAGAGCATGAGGAGGAAGGAGCGGCAGGACCAAGTGTTATGAACTGATCACAAATCCCATTCCCCATTCCCAATCTACCCTTACTGCCCAGGTGAAGGAAAACTTGGAAGACATGGGAACAAAGGCATGGAGTCTGGGAAAAAGAGGAGGTGGCTAAATTTTTTTAGTTTTGTTTTCACTTTGCACTATCTTACTTTCTTTTTATTTGGCAATAAATCAAAATAAACTTCCTGTAGTTGAGTCTGTTGGTCTTTGACAATAACTGCTAAATTATCTTCCATTCTCATTCCAACCCATGACTTTTTTCATCTTGATTTCTTCCCTTGCTCTGCTGAGGAGGGGGAGTGGGAGCAGCTTTATGGACATATTTTAGGTGAGGTTATCTAGCACAGAGATGCATATAAATTTCATCTAAACCTGGCTGTCAAATGTCAGATTTTTTCCAAGTTAGAAATGGAGTGCCCTCATGTCGCCCTGAAAACTCAGTTTTTCGAGCTTGCTGACATAGTTTCTGAAGACTTCCCCAGAACAGTAACTGTAAACATAGATACGTGTACATTCCTTCTGATACAGGTCTTTTGATGGACATCTCTCATGGCCAGTGTGGTTGGGAAGGTGTTATCCTGACTATCCAATCCCTGGCTGTGGTCAGAAACCTATAAATTCTGAAAGAAGAAATAAAATTTTCTCCTTCCTTTACCACACCTCGAGCTGTGTCTGTGTGACTCATTTTGTGTCCAGCAGCAACACCCTGACACTCCCTAGCCTGCAAAAAAGAAAGTAATAATAAGAGAGAAAAACCTTGCTAGGAGCTCTGATAAGACTGCAGCTAGGACTAAGCTTCTGGGGATTTCAGTTTCTGTAAGCTAAATCCTCTTAAACAAGGGAGTAAGCCTATGCAAATCAGAATGTTACAAACTGAATCTGGTTAGCTATCCCCTTGCCAAATATCAGATCACCAATTCAATGTGCAAGAAAGTTGGAACTTACCAAAAAGGTTGTCTTCTTTATTTTTTTTATTTTTTTTTTGATTGTCCACAGTGGAATGCATTTCCCTGAAATCATGGCCTTTAAAGCTACTAAGTGTTTTGATTCAATTGATTCAATTTGCTCATAAGCACTTCAAGTGAGATAGTCATTGAGTACAGACAATTTCAGCCCAAAACCCAGTTAAATTTCAGTGTTTCTAAACAGTAAGGAATAATTAAATTAGTTTTTATCTTACTTAAGAAATGATGATTCAGCCTCAAAACAATGCATTGGTTTTGCCAATAATATGTTTTATTGTTTCACTCTCTATTATGGTTAAAATATACCAATTAGAGAAAAGAGTTTATTTGCATATGGATGGGAAAAGAATAAGTAATATTGAGACAGGAACCTCCCCACTGCACCAGGAAGATTACTACTGTGACTGTGTGTCCAATCTGTAATATTAAAATTTTGAAAAAACGTCAATGTGATGATGAGAGTAAATTTTTCAGTCCATGTATTGAAATAAATTTATCTATAAGTTTCATGTGATCTGCTTTAAGTGCATATTTGCAAAAAAAGACTAAGAAATATCTAAGTATCTACATTAATACATAAATATCAATATTTTAATATAAAATATATTATAATATTATATATTATTTATAGTTTATGTATATTATTTATATTACAATATTATATATTATAATATATATGTTAATATATAAACATCTATATGAGAGGAAAGTGTAGCATTCCAAATTGCATGTACATCCAATTTAATATCAAACTTTTAAAGATAAAATCAATAATGACTGAAACTAAAAGTGTGGCTTCTAAATTATAGTTTCTTAATAGATGTTTTAAAGTTTTACTAAATTATAAGTTTTAGATCAACTAGAGGACACTAAACATAACCACCTAAAAAAATATAGAAGCACCTCATTTCTTCTTCCTGTTGTTTTTTCCCTTCTCATGTCCACCCCCTTGCTGTACTGAGCCTTACTGACAGCTTATACAAGTTGGAATATAAATAGTAATGTTAATTATTGAGACAGAAATATAAGAGAAATTAGGATCACAGAAAACAAAAGGACTGATTCAGAATGAATCAAAACATATTCAATTATAAGAGTTCATTAACATTTTAATTTTCCTTGATACGCAATACAATGTCTTTTTTTTAGGTCTAATGACCTCATTTTTCATAGTCTCTATTAATGGCATTAAATCTGATGAGAAATGGAACATATAGTTCATGTAATTCAGGAATATTATCGATGTGTGAAATTTATTATAAAGTACAGCATTACATGAAAGTTACAATACAGAGTTAAATAATAGCTTACTGTCCTGTGGTACAAATCCCTGCATATGCTGCTTCATACTGCCTGCTAGATACAGCTTTTTATCTGCATTAGTGCTGCACAGTAGC